TTTTTTATTATGATTATATGAATTTTATTGGTAAGCAAGTAGGAAGAGATCAAAGACGTTATTGACTAGGTCTCTAAAAATGTATTCAGAAATCTGAAGACATCACTTTCTTCATTATTATTTGATTTTTACATTGACAAAAATAAGTACATCCGATTTTTTTTTATAAATATAAAAGTATAATTATATTACAATAATAGTGGGTGTATTATTATGCTCATACGAATAAAAGTGTACACTTTTATGAGAATTTCAATTTTTACTTATTAGTAATGCTGAAATATCTATAGTATTGTGTAATCAAGGTCTCGAAGCAATTGATATTGAACGTTTTGGACGATCAATTATAATTATATGTAAAATATCAACTAATGGTAGCAGTTATAATTTAATCAAAAATGAATATGGTTAATCATTAATAGATTTATTTTATAATGTAAAAATATGTTTAATTTTTAAATAAGTAAAACAGTCTCTGAGAGAAAAGATACAATTGATACAATAATTGCATATTTAATATTCAAGTTGATAATCAAATGTGTATGCTTAATCAAGATATAGCAAAAAAAATTTTAAATACAAAAAGTACAAAAGAAAAGCATAATGTAAGATTTGCTGTTAATAACAGTCGCGATTAATTTCAATCTATAATTCCGTAACTATTATTTAGTTTTTTCTCAAAACAACACAGTTATAAAAAATGGTTGAAGATTTTCAACAAAATACAGTTGAAGTTCGTATTGCTAAAGGATTACTTATTGATCATATTAAAATAAAAAAGTTTCTTTTTTTTTTAAATATTAAATTTAAATTACTGTTTTAATTAACATAGAAAAAAAAGAAATTCAAGCACAATTAAAATTTGCTGTATTAGTACGTAATGCAAAACCAGATGCTGATAATCTTCAAGGACAACTTGAATGGACTGAAATGTTTAATCTTGAAAAAGTAAAATCATTTAAATATATATTTTGAATTATAAATATGTATTTGCTTTTTTAAAGACATTAGCTGAGACTGAACAAAAACTTCTTAATAATCGATATACTGTTGAAGAATATATGAAAAAACGTGATGCATCAATTGTATGTTGTGAATTTTTATTTATTTTTTAAATTCAATCATGTATATAGAAAGATATTAAAAATGAAAAGACTAAACGTGATGAATTACTTCGTAAAGCACAAGAAGTTACAAATAATATAATTGAAGACAAGCGTATTCACGATGATCTTGAACGACGAATGAAATTAATTAATAAAGAACGAAGAGATTTATTAAATGAAGTAAATAAATCTGAAAAAGAACTTTAAATGCAAATTGAATTAAAGAAAAAACTTCAAAATATTATTGATGAAATGCGTCGCAAAGCAACAGGTAATAACGATTATGACAGAGTTCGTCAACGTATGGAAGAATTACAAATTTCAATTGCTGAACAACGACAAATATTGTCAACGAAAGAAAATGAATAAGTTAATTTTCGACAATTATATGACGATGAATGTCAGATTTTATTTAATGACCAAGCAGCTGTTAAACAACATGAAGATTCTTTACATAAATGACGTAGAATTATTCAACATCTTAAAGCAGTTAAAGAAGATCGTGTTACAGTTTATGGACGTTATACATTTGCAATTCTTAAAGAAATTGAAAAACAAGCTCATAGATCTTGAGGGTGTAGGTGTGAGCGAGAGTGCCGGTGTAAATGATGGTGTGCATATAAGAGCCCCTGTTTACCCTTACCTTCACCCGTATTCATACTTAAACCTTCACCATCACGCGTTATTTTAAGCCAAACGAGTCAAATTTAAACAAAAAATACATTAAAATATAACGTATCAAAATTCTATCAATCTTATTTTGGGACATTTTTCTGAATTCATTCTTGGCTTTTTAAATCAGAAAAGTTTGAAACACAAATATTTTGTAAAACTAAGTCTTTTGCAAAAACCATTAGTTTACAGAATTATCAGCCACCATATTCAGAAATCATGCATGAACTGAGTTCTTTTCGAATTATTTAGTTGAAATGTATCTAATCGTAGAAATTTAGCGGAAACAAATAATTCAAAAAATATTTTTTTATCGGATTAAAACGATGAAGTAATGAGAAAGACTAAATTGCTCAGTTTGTTTCAGAAAAAGCTATGTTATGATATGCAAACCTGGAATAAATTTAACGTCCAATATACTATTGAAAAGAGCATCCTTTGTGCTACAAAAATCATCATTGAACAAGTTTTCTTTATGTCTCTTCTGATATACAAAAAAACTAATAGAAAACGAAAATCATGATACTCAAAAGTGAAGTTGCAAGAACCTTTTTAGAGGTATTTAGCCTGCGGCTTTTCTCCCTTTTCACATTCGTTTTAGAAAAATATATCCAAATACAAAATTTGTAGTTCAGACATTCCACTTTTTAATGAAAAAAATTGATTGATTTATAAGTTGGCAATATGGCTCAATAGAGTTACATCTCAGAACAAGTCAACAGGGATTTTTTTATGCAGTTTCTGTAGAACTTTTTATGGTAGAACTTTTTATGGCAGATGTTTTGAAAAAAAAATGAAGCTATCTTCATTTTCTCAAGCCGAGATATATGCGAAATAAGAAATGTCGCAAGACTTTTGTCACGCCCGGTAATTCCATTTAATGAGAATAAAGTATTAAAAACATTTTGATCATTATTTCAACTGGTTTAATTTTATATTATTTACATGATACATTGAAATTAAATAAAAATATATCAGACTCAGAGACCAACAGTATTAGTTCATTTTATAGAATCGACAGATCCCGAAAACGAGTTTAAAACAATACAATGTTTTTGAAAAATTATTCTTGTTAAAACATTTATTATATAATCATATCTACATTAGCATGTCTTGCATTATATTCATCTATCATTGCTACTAAACATATGACAAAGCTTGACAATGATGGAAAAACTATTCATTCAATGGCACATCTATTTCTATCAATAATTGACTTATTTTGTTTTTCAATTTATTTATCTAATGCATTTGTAATTTCTACATTTTTTCTATATCAAATTAGACATAATTTGAAACAAAACATCTTTTACAATTAATTATTTTCAAGAACACATTCTTTTTTAATGTCATTCCATACATGCTGTAACGGACATGATTGAATGAACAACTCTGTCTTATTATTTAGACAAATATAAAATCCTTTATTGGTAAATGGTACTGCACCAACAGGAGGTTCTCCTTCACATTTTGGAACAAATAATTTTTCAGTATAACAGTTATTTCCAGCGAAACTGATAACAAATGGTCGGGTACTCCAGTCGTGACACCGGCAAAAGTGATTAAGAGCCATATCATTTGTATAAGGATAACACTCTGTAGACTTATTTCCTATTACATCACCACATCTGGAGGTAGGACAATCATTCCGAAGGAGATGACAATGAAGACCTTCGTATGGAAGAGGACAATGACAAAGATAAGCATCAGCCGATGAAAAATCAAAACAAACACCACCATTTTGACAGGGTTGTGCAGCACATCGAGATCCAATTGGAAATACTGATGTATTTGCTATAACAATACAAATGACTTCAAATCGAAATACAATTTTATTTTTCATTTACTTGTTTTGTTCACACATCCACCGATTTTCAATGATACTTCAGTACCTGGTGGACACATTTGTTTTATGCCTTTGTCATAAGAAGTGCAATAAAAATAGCCAGAAGAGTTTTGTAATGCTGCCACTCTCCCAGGTATGTAATGTGGCTTGCATACATTTAATGGTACTAAAATAATGTAAACAAGAGAATAATGAGCACTTATGAAAATGATGACACTCACTTTCTTCTTCAAATGATTCTATATCAAATTCATAGCCAAGAAGGGCGTGATCAAATTCACCACCATTTGTATCTGACATATATTTGATATTCCATCGTTGCTCGTCTACAATTAAGTACATAATATAAATATTAGATAAAGTAGAGTACAAAAAGATAGGAATAGCTCTCCATTCCATATAATTTCAGAGCTCATCGCATGATGAGTTATTAGTTCAGGGTGTGGGTATAGAAAAGATGAATCTACACCCACACCCTCAAGATCGTATGAATGCTAATCAAACTTTTCTTGCCATTTAAATCCTAGTTTCTGGTTAGAAACTTGTAGCTTACCTGGTATACGTTCAGCATGTGAATGCAAAAAAAAGAGAAGAAAAAGTAGAATATTGAGTAGCATATTGAAAGGAAACAATTCAAATGACAAGCAACCTAAACTTTCCTTGGATGATTGTTTATCCATTTATCATGAACTTTGACCTCAATGCACACAATGACATAGATGTACATTCTCTCGTGAAACAAATAACGTATATTTTTGGCGGCAGAGAAGGATACATTGTATGAGAACAAGAATCAGAATGAGCTGTGTTTTTTGATATTTATCATTTGATCGGAATATTCTACGTTGTTGTTCTCTTTCCGTCTCGTCATCATCATTTCGTCCATTTATCTCGCTTGATAACAATACTGTTTAGTTTTATCTTTCTCTCCCCAAATATAAATAAATGTGATCATACTTCGTTTTTGCTATTTATTAATATTTTATATAATAAACAATTGTTGTTCACATCATTTATTGTTACATATTAGAACTTTTATATAATGAATATTTTTTAAACTGTCATGAAAATGTTCACTATTGGAAGATATACATAGCAAAAAAGTCCGTTCACAGCAGAAAATTAAGAATGATTAAGGGATAGGAGTTCTACGGGAAGTTGTTAGTGGTTAAGAGATACGAAGCATGTATTAAGGTTGTTGAGCCACAGTCAAATTAATTGCCTCTAAAAGGCTCGTTTGCATATGGATTCCAAACTGTATGGTTGTTTAGTGTACGGATAAGACCGCATTCATTGCCAAAGCTAGATTTGTAATTGCTTTCTAGAGGGCTGCCAGCATCACCGTTCAGAAACGAATTACAGACGATCCACACCAATTGCTGATGGAGATCTTTGCAAATCTGTTTTGCTATGCAATAGAGATAATCATTTAATAAGTAATGTATTGGAATATTCCTCATGAGACTATGTTCAGCTTTTATGAATGGTAGCACTTTTTGTCTATTTATATGATCGGCAGACAGCTGTGTCATACCCGTGCAATTAATATCTCCGTACTCTGAAAAACAAAATTTCAAATTATCGTAAAACTTTGTTTCAAGTTTCATACGTACCTGCTTTGTTTGAAGTATAGATTTCATAATGCTCATCTGTTATCGTACAAAGCTCTGTTTTTAAATAGCTATCCACCATTGGCTTATAGTGGCAAAAATTATAAATTTTGCACAATACTATGGGACTACGAATCCACTCCATTGCCATCAGATACAGGTTGAGTTCTTTCGCCGACACTAAAAAAAATCAGAAGATTTATATTTTTATACGGAATTATTATTCTACTACTCATAAGTGCCTATGACCTTGTTTAACTAAATGCATGTTAAATGAAACAGCGCCTTTCTCTGTTTAAAATGAGTATAGATGTACCGCAGGGGTCGGTACTAGTTGCAATACTCTTTCGACTTCATATTCACGTTCTATCATCCTTTTTCAGAGATGCTGATGTACATTTGTTTGTAGACGACTTAGCAATAGTCATAAATGGTTCTCTTGAAAAACGATTTCACCAAAATATAAAGGAAATCGAGAAAAAATTGCTACTAGTACATAATGTAGTTGCACCGCTTTATCCAAGTGTAAAATATAGAAATGAAAACATTGAATATGTCAAGTCTTTCAAATACTTGGGCGTACAAATCTCTACTAAACTAGGTTGGGTCATATTTATAAATGAAAGAATAAAAAAGATTAGAAACATTTATAAAGCACTTCGTGTCATTCTATATTCTGTACCTGGTTTTTTTTCACTAACACTCAAAGAAAACAAATCGAACACATATATACTACTCAGGATTACGAATGGTGTATAAACTAGAAGGATATGATGACTTAACAACGATTAGAATAACAAGAGAAAAAATTCTCCTCGACTACATATACAAATACTGGATTAAATTACATAAGCATCTGAAAGCAACATCAGAAGCACTAAGTTACGAACGACCTTAGAAGACATATGAAATGATCAAATCGAATGACAAAACGTGGTATAAAAACTTCAAGTTTGAAAAGAACAGTAATTTTCCAAATTGATTAATAGAAAGAGGAAAACACACGTGAGAAGATTGGAAAGAATTTGAAAGTACGCATAGAAATCAACTTTAATTTTTTAAAATAGATACGTACTATAGAAATCTATTTGTATACAAATTTCTTCTTACTGAATCTCCATGAATCATTGTAATAATCAGATTAAATGCTACAATTAAAAAAATAAAGAATCGTCCTTCAAAAAAAAGTATGAATCATACCTATTACATAGTTGAAAAATTCAACTGACATTCAAACAGGAACGAATAAAATGAAATAATAAATAAGACAGAGCGCATGATTTCGTTCATTGGCATCTCTTTTATTTCTTCTTTTCACCTTTTACAAAATATACTTAAAGATGTCACTGAATGGCATAAATCTCTTTCGTTTTATTTTATTTATTCACTTTTTTTCTTTCCTTTCCTCTCTGTCTTACTCCCGTCATATTCTTTTCTCTCTTTTCAATGTGAACCTAAATTGGCTCAATAAAAATAAATGAAAAAAAAAATAAATTATCGCATTTGATAAACTACGTATTTTCAATGAGATACAAATCAGTTACGATAACACGAAAATAAAAATTTATGTTAGATAAGTCTATTAGATAATTTTGTTTTATGAAAAGTGCACAAAAAAAAAATTAAAAGCAGTAACGTTTGAAAATTAAGTTTTCTTTTGAAAGCGGAGAGATCAGAAGTTATTTTTGATATGGTGTCCGTTGAGCGAAAAACATATCAGCGAACGGATTTTTCAGCGAAAAAAAATGCGTGAAAGTCACAACTGCGAAACACCTTTCATCCATACCCTCATCGGGAAAAATTATTTCGCTGAGTTGCCTTTCGCTCTTTTTATTTCACTAAAAATTTTCGCTGAAAAGCCTTTCGCTCACTAGCCCCCATACCGTTATTTTTCATTTATAGGCTGTGAGTGTGGGTGTGAAACAAAGGCCCTACATCTACACCTATGTCCATTCACATCTCCCCACATCCAGTCACTCCCTCACCTACACCAACACCCATACCCATACCCTTCTAGCTTATCGATCTATTCTCATGAATCTTTCTACATTATCATTCAGATAGTGAAAGGTCTCCGAAGGTTCTTACTTTTTTTGCACCTTGAAAGTACAAATTTCTCGAAGTCATTACTTAATTCATTAATCGAAATAACGATAGTTCAATCAAGTCAAACAAAAAAAATGTTACTTTATAAACAGTTGAATGGTATGTTCCAAAAAAAAATTAGTGCCGAGGATGAAAGTATAAGGAAGATAACAAAAAAAACACTGAAAAAAATTCACCGTTCATAGCTCGATCATTGGAATATTGAATTCTATTCCCTCGAGTACAAGTTTTCATGTGATATTTAATCAAGTTCAATTACAAGGAACCGTCAAATTTTCGATTGCATTCGGTTATGCACATCTCGAGTCATAGTCTATTGCTAATGAAGATATCTCATACAACTACCGTAAGTATTCTGACAGTCCATATGTCAATAGCTAATCTACAACTTCATCTTCAAACAGTTGAGAAATAGGCGATGTATATGGTCAACAGGTAAACAAATTCCAAAATAATGCCAATTCAATTTTTACTTTTAACTTGTTAAGTTGCTAAATTGAGTATCTGTGTTTTATTAAATATGCATAAGAACAATTTATTATTTTCTTTCTATACTTTTATAGGATAAATATGCAAAAATCGAAAAATAATTATAATATGTTCACAGAATCAATCATTTCATCATTATTTGCTTTACTTTCATAATTTAATGATAACTACATTTATTATAAGATTTACTTTTTAACCTAAATATTGTATATTCTTTAATTTAGTTTATTATTTTGAATAAAACTCATCATTAATGTCAGCTGATGACATGTGATCAATTGTATTTCACGAAGAAAAAACGGATGTCAAGGAAGTACCTAGATGAGACAAAAAAACGAGAAAGCTGTTTTTTATACAACATAGCAATTTTAAGAGCCAAAAATACACAAGAAGAATATGCAAATTTTGTTAAATAGTAATTATTAGTTTTGTTTTTAATGAAAGACTTTAGAATTCATAACTAATTCATGCATATCACAAGGAACTTCCTTTTTTATACTTACATTAAATAAATATTGTTCCTTATATGTTTATCACGAGTTCTTATTTGAATATATTATAAAGGAACCATGCATGCATTGAGCATGTGATACATATCATTATTAATATATGATCATATGACTACCTATGCTATATAAATAACTATGTAGTTCAACGTATATGTTTTCAGTTTTATTCTAAAGTATATTGTTTATTGAAAGATGTCCAATTCTACAACATCGCCATTGATTTTAACGTTATCAACGATTCAATTAAGAATGTCTACCTTCATTATGCCAATCTTACTCGTGTTTGGAAGTGGTGGTAATATACTCAATGCAATTATTTTTCTTCAGAAAACACTTCGATCATGTAGTTGTAGTATGTATATGATTGCTGCATATTTTCTACATACTATAGTTCTTTGTTTTGCAATGTCAACAACTCTCTATTCACTTAATCATAGAGATCCATTAACATATAGTGTACCATATTGTAAAATACGTCAATATTTAATATCAGCTATATTTACCATGGCTCGTTGTTGTGTTGGTATGGCTTGTGTTGATCGATATGCAATCACGTCACAAAATACTCATATTCGAGCTTTTGGACGACCTCATATAGCTCGCTTTATCATTATAACTATTATAATTGTATGGCTCATTTTACCAGTTCATTTAATCATATACAATACTATTCAAAATAGTCGATGTATTATGCCTGGATTGTATCCCTATTTTTTTGCTGCTTATGCTATCATTATTGCTGCAATCATTCCACCAAGTATGATGATTACATTTAGTATTCTTGCTGCAAAAAATATTCGACAGATGCGTCGACGTATTCAACCATCATCTATGGATACAATAGTAGGCAATAGTAATATTCATTTAAAACAATATGATTATCAATTGTTGAAAATGTTGTTCATAGATGTAATAATCTATTGTATATCAGCAATACCATCACCAATTTATTATATCTATGCTGCCATCACACTACAATCAATAAAAACTGCTGAACAAATAGCATGGCAAAATTTTTTTAGTTATTTGGCATATCAATTTTTATTGTATATAGCAGCATCAACAAGTTTATATACCAATCTTTTAGTATCAAAAGCATTTCGAAAGGAATTTCAAGTGTTTATGAATCGATTTATTGTCAATGAACAGCAATTTTTTGCAGTCAAATCCAATAAAATGATTAATAATAATTCCTTTCAAACAGGTCAAGCTACTATTCAAAAATGACCTATTTCTTAAGTTGAGTTTCTTGTTCGAACAATTTTTTATGTTCTATGTTGTCTAGTTTTGATTTATATCTGCGTATAAAATATTCTAGTCAAACAATAGTGACATCTTTCATTTCATTTAAATGTTGTGGTCATAGTAACGAAGCCGTCGATGCTCGGAAAGAACAAATCGATATATGCTTCCATATTTTATTCTGTCAAAAAGTAATTTATAAAAAATATATAATGAATGATGCTGCCCCATCACATAAAAGTTTATATCGTTGGGAAAAGCGTCAATCAGCACTTGATCAACCATCTAAACCAGCAAAAAATGGTGAGAAATATTGAAATCTACATTATGAAAACTTAATAATATTTGAATATTAATTTAGATGATATAAAAAATTGGTTACGTCAAGTAGAAAATGCATCATCGAATGCAGTTGAAAGTGTTTTTCCTCGTTCATCTAGTCGAAAAACTAGTAAAATACTTGCCAATCAAGCAACAGATACAACATATACAGGTAAACTAGAAAAATTTATTTAAAAAAAAAACTTTCTTTTATTTTGTAGAAGCAAGAGAAATTCTTGATGAATGGATGAATGATAAACTTCGACTTGAAGCTGGTCTTAATGATAGTGATGATGATGATATAGTTCAAGCAAATGTTCGATCTGTTAAACAAGCATGTAATCTTAGTTTTGATGAAGATGATCAATTAGAATTCTTACGAGAACCAAAAGATATATTTACATTTAAAGATCCAAGTGTTTATTATGAAACACATGATGAATCAGATTTAGTTAAAGATATTCTTCATGGTTTGTTTGTTCTACATATAAAAAATAATTCAATAGTATTGAATTTAGATTTAAGAAGTAAAGAAGTATTAACTCGACAGCAATTATATGCTATGGAACAAACTAAACCAGCAACTATTGATATACAAACAAAAATTGAAGAACGACATCGACAAGTTTAATAGATTTTTTCTTTTTAATAATGTGTTTTTTTAATCTTTAATACAGGTTAAAGAAAATCATGAACGTATGCAAAAAGAACGTGATTCTAAACGTAAACAAGTACAAGCAAAAAAAGAAGCAGAAGCTCAAGCACGTCTTGTTATTCTTAAAGTAAAGAATTGTTTTTTTTTTATTCGTCGTTTAAATATTCATCTAGGAAGAACGTGAACGTGCTTTAAAAGCTAAACAAGAAGAAGAGATGATTGAACGACACGTTATGGAAATTCGAAAAGAAATGAATGAAAAACGTTTACAAGATGAAGAACAACGAAAACAGTATGTAGTCTGAGAACTTCTTCTTGATAATGAATATCTTTTCTATTAGTCATCGTGAATATGAACATGCTAAATCAGAACGAACGAAAGCTGAACAAGAACGATCACGTAAAGAAGAAGAATTACACAAATTAAAAGAATTAGCAATTAAAGAACAAAATGATCACAATGAAAAACGTCTTCAAACTTTAGTGGATGATTTTATTCGAATGAAATCTTTAACAATAATACAAAAACATTTTTCTGCTTGGCTTAATGTTGTATTAGAACGACGTTTACAAATGGGTCGAGCAGCTGCATTAGCTGATTGGAAATTATTATTTCAGTATATATTTAAAATAATAATAATCAAAAAAAAAATGTTTTTTCTCTAGGTCATTTAATTGGTGGAAAAGTATGGTTCGAACAAAAAAACTTGAAGAAGAAACAGAAGCACATATGGCTGAAATGAAAATATTTAGTATGAAAATGCAACAAGCAAGTTCACATTATGAACGAACATTATTACGAAAGTATGAAGTTTTTTTTATAAGAAAAATTCTTTCAACTTTATATATACTTTTATAAGATCAATGATAACTTGGCAAATCTATCTTCGTAATGAACGAATAGCTAGCAATTTAAAACATGAACAAGAAACAACGAAAAGAAAAATTGATTCATTTCTTGATGCTGCATCAACTGGTAAACTTTGGGGAAACGAACAACAACAACAAACAATAATAACAACACCACTACCACCAACAACAGCAACTATTACTCGTCAACAATCTAAACAAGTAAAAGTACGAAAAGTACCAATCGTTCCTCGTCCATCTTCATTAACTTCACGACCACGTTCAGCAGTAAGATTTGGTGATAAATCATCATTAACTACAAGAACACAGTCAGATATAAAACTTGATGATTTTTTTCAAACATCATCAGCATCACACAATGAACAAGAAGAACAACAACAACCGTAAAATTTATTCTACATACTTACAGTCAATTAATTATCTTTTTTTTAGTAGTCTCAATATTGGTTTACCAGTAACAACGACTGATACACGTCGTATGCATCTTGATTTTGATGAATTATCAAGTAGTGATGAAGATTTAAGTAAAAAAAAGCAACGTGAAAAACGTATTCGTCAAGATATGGCTGAACATAAATCTGCATCACGTGTTATGAGTACATTTGAAAATCGTTATAATGCTCAAATGAAAATGCTTAAAGAACAAAATCGTTTATTAAAAGGTTTTATTTATTTTTTCTACTCTAAAAATTAAATTTATTTCATTAGATCAACAAAGAATGATAGAAGAACTTAAATATCAACAAGATCAAAAAGTTATTCATAATCAACTATCAAATCTTGAAACATTAAAAGCACAACAAGTAGAAGATATTGTTTATATTTAAATAAAAAAAAAGTATATGTGTGTTTAGACTGAAATGGAAGACAAACAACGAAAACAATTAGTTACTGATCGACGTCATGCGACTGCACTTATTCAAGCACATAATCGTGGAGACTTACAAAAGCAATTAAATACAAGTCGATTTGAGTATATTAAAATATTTAATTTTATTGATTTTTGTTTAATAGTATTCATTTTTCTAGTCAACCAACTGTATCAGATCGTCCATCAACAAGAAGTGAAACATTATTATTAAATATGGAAGAACGAGCACGAAAACGATATGAAATTAAAACTGAACGTGACGCAAAACGACGTGCTGTAGAAGAAGAAAAATTAGCTAGAGTACAACGTATGAATTTAATTTCGTTATTGAAGAAAAAACAATATTGTATTTAATTTTTTAGAATTAATGGATGAAAGAATGCGTCAAGAAGAAGAAGAAAAACGATTAAAAATTGAAGAAGCACGCGAAAAACAACGTCTTGAAAAAGAACGTGAAATAGAAAGAAAACGTTTTGAACAACGTTTACAAATATTAACTGAAAAAGCTGATAATCATTGCAGGTAAACATCTAAATTTTTTACAAAAACAAAATCTTATTTTCATATTTAGAATCTTTCGAATGCGTTATTATGGATTTAATCCTTTAAAAAAACTTATTTTAATTCGTCAACAACAAATGCAAACAGCTGAAGAACATCATAATTATAAAATTGCACAATATACATTTAATATTTGGTATGAAACTATACGGCAAGATATGGAAATAAAAACTAGACGTGCTATAGAATTTTATACACATTTACTTTATCGTCGATATTTTACATCATGGCAACGATATAAACAACAAACAGAAATAGCGGATGAACGAGCTGAAAGACATTATATGAATCGTTTAATGATAAATACATTTAAAATTTGGCAAGATTATACACAAACAGAAATTATTCGTTTATGGCGTTTAGATGATATAGCTAAAGAACATAATGTTAAAAGAATTTTAAAGAATACATTTATTATTTGGCGTCAATTTCCAGCTGAAACAAAAAAAGAACGTGAACGAGAAAAACGATTGGCAGAAATGCGCTTGAAAGTCAAAGATTTATTGCCTGATTATCGTGGAACAGAATCATCATCATCCAATACAATTAATAGCAATGATAATAAAACTTGATTTATGATCGCATTGTCTTTTTGTTGTTGTTGTTTTTTTTGTATATTTTATTCGATGTTTGTTTTATAATAATTGATAGCAATCATCGCTGCATTAAGATATAACGCCTTTACTATTCTGTAATGATACAATCAAGATTCTATCTTATTCTATACGGCAAGGGTTAGGACAGAAAGCAAGAGAAAGGGTAAATATTAGTGCAACCGACGGAATGAGTCGTTTTCCTCTTTTTTCTTTCTCTCTGCTACACCAGCGACAATATGTGAAACTCACAATAGATACAAAAAAAAACAAATAATTTTTTTTCCCGATAATCAAAGAGAAAAACAACTTTTTGTTATTTTTCAAATATGCTTGATAGACATCGATTAGTTCCACATTTTAAAGAACAACTAACAGGTAAATTTCATAGATATATTTTTTCGTCTATTTATTGTCTATATTTAGAGGTTGTGAAAGTATTGACTCATCATGAAAAACGTTTTCAAAAAACTCGTAAAGAAAAAATAACAGATTTAAATAAATTCAAACCTGGTGATCATGTTAGTTTTTATAAAACCGATTTTTACTATGCTCATCATGGTATTGTATGTGAAGCACGTACAAATTATCTTCGTGTTATACATTATTTTAATACATTAGAACATGCACGCACTGCATTAATGAAAGGTTCAGTTTATATAGCAGCAATAATTGAAAGTGAATGGCCTGTAAATATGAAAAGTACAAGTGAAGATGTTTATTTACATCATTATGATAATATTACATGTTTTTCAAATGAAGAAACATTACAACGAGCTTTTTCACAACTTGGTAGACGTGGTTATTCATTAATAGGAAATAATTGTGAACATTGGTCACGTTGGTGTCGAACAGGTGAACATTATTCGGAACAAATTATTAAATTTCGTAGTTTAGTTAAAGAAAAATCGGCAACATTATTAATTGTTGATCCAACAGCATTATTAGTCAAAGATATAGCTATGGTTAGTGTTCGTACATTTGGACAATTTTTAAGTGCAATTGGTTCGGGTTTTATTTTAACGACTGTTGAATCTCTTTCAGCATTTATTGATATTAGAAAAAAGAAAAATGAAAGAAAAAAAGGAACTTTAAGTGATGTTGCATTGAAAAAATATGTAGTTAGACGTGTAACATCAGCATCAACAACTGTAAGTTTATTCTTTTCATTAATAAATTAATATTCTATTTCTTTTCTATCACGAATAGATTGTTGGTGGAACAACTGGTACCATAGTTGGTACAATTCTCATTCCTGTTCCTATACTTGGTGCAACTGTTGGCGGTATTGTTGGTAGTGTAGGTGGAAAACTTATTGGTGGTGTATCTGGTATTGCATTATCAAAAATTTTAGAAGTCTATGAAAAAGTAAAAGCATCAAAAATTAAAAAAATGACGACTATACCACAATTAATGGCTTCTATATCACCTGAAAGTCAACTTATCCGTGGTTTAATGACGATCGCATTAGATAAAAAAGAGGAAGAAGAAGAAGAACAGATAGCAACTGTTATTGAACAAGCAATGAATTCAAATTCTTCGTCTTCATCATCAACATCACTTTATCCCTCATTGGATGAATTTCTTCATGATAATGATAATATTACCAAAGAAAAATGTCAAAAAGCACAAGAATTAACAACTGAATTATTTACTGATGATAATTCAGTTGAATATTTTATATTAACACCTATACCCGATGAAAATGCACCTGAAGAATTTGCATCATCAACAGATTTACTTGTACTTCGATGGCCACTGGAAGCACTTAAACCATGGGAATCAGATGGAGAAAAAGTTTTAGATATTGATGAATTAAACAAAAAATAAACACTAAAGTCATGTAATTTTTCATTCTATTAATTTAATGTCAGATTTTTTATTTATTTTTATGTAAAAAAAACGAAGTTTTATTGTTTTTTTGCTATAAAACGAAGAATATAAATATTATATATATGTGTGCGTGTTAATTCGCTGGTACAATAACAGGCGCTTCATTTTCATCTCGTAAACCCATTTCTTGTAAAACACTAAATTCAAATTGAATAAAATCATTATATTCATTTTTCATTCGTATATCAATTTCATCTTGTGTTGGAATATGACTTGGAGCAATACCCATTTTCATCGCTGATAAACGTTCTTTTTCACGTTTTTCTTCTTCACGTAAATTCCAACGATGTTTAACAAAATCACGTCGTTCAGTTTCACGTTGTAAATAATTTGTTACAACTTGTAATTCTTGATTAATTGGTTGTCGTAATGATTGTGGTATTTCAAGTATATGAACTGTACCATTACTATCTCCAGCTGCTAAAAGTTGTTGTTTAGCTAAAATTTTGAATTTAAACAAATAATTAAATAGATCGTCTTTTTTTTTGTTTCTTACATGATATTGTTTTTATACTAAGATAAGTTAAAGCTGTATTAGATATCGATTGTGATATTGATGGAGCATGTGTTCGATCGATTAAATCCCAAACATCAATACCTCCATTTTGTTTCGATACAAAGAAAACACCTGGTCTTGTTGGAGACCATTCAACATCAGTTATTTTTTCTTTTAATGGTGCAGTATGTAAAAGTGAACCAGACTAAAAAAAAAGTATCAATTTTGTATTTCATTTTTAATCTTGATTAAAAGCTCTTCAATTAAAAATATTTCTACTTGACAAAAGCCAGAGAAAATGACTTCCGTCATATACTCTTATCAAATAAAGAGATTGCATTTTAATTCTTCGATTAAATTGTTCCCAAGTATATATAGCTTTTCTTTGTATTGTAATACAATGAATAGAAAAACGTCATTGATATACATTTTATGTTCGAAATTATAATGGTTTTTTTTTACATAGAATTCTATGTAATTGAAAAATCTTTTTTAAGAAAGTCTTTTTTTGTATCTCATGATTTTGTCTAGACAAAAATAGGAAGAACTTACATGAACTTTTTCTCGCCAAATTTGAAATATCCAACCACCAGCAATAAGTAGAACATCTTTAAAAAAAGGTGAACGTTTAAGTGCAACAACAGGACCATCAACAACACCAGATGACCAAGCTGCTTTTGGTGCTGAAAATAAAATTTTGATTATATTATTCAATCATAGAACTATTTTTTTTTTCATTTGAGAATATCTACTCGAAAATTTTGTTGAATCACTCTCTTTTTGTGGCATCCAATCTTGATAAACCAATTGTCCATCCTATAATAAAAAGAATGAATCATATATAATTAATTTTCTTATCAATAACTATATTTCAATTTGATAAGTAACTCTTCATCTCATTGATTACTTACAAAAGAGAAAAAAACGATTTATATCCTGCATTATATATTCACAGGAAATTACACTTGAGGAACAATATAAAATCTTCGAAAATTATACTTTTTTTTCTTGTTGTGTACTAGGTTATTTATTAAGAAACTACTTTCCCACACTATTCACTTTGTTTAAACTATTCTGATCTACAAGATGCTCTTCAAATCAATCATCATATTTTTCTTATTTACAATACTTTTTTCAATCAGTATTAATTCATATCGATTAGATAGTTATATGAATTCAAACGATATGGATGAAACTAATGAACTCAATGATCCATATCTTATTAAACGAATTGAATCATTATTGGGAGCATCAACAGCTTCAAAACATCGAAATATTGATTTTGATGATTCTTATACTCGAAATCGTCGATTAATGTCAAATCGTCGTCCGGGACTACTTCGTTTAAAATAATATAATCTATCTTTTATCCGTATTTTATTTGTATTCTATATTATCATAAAATAAAGAATTCAAATTAAATACAAACATACCTCTGTTCCAACATAAAAGAATGTATCAATTTTTTGAAGAATTTTTGCTTTAGCTTGTGATATAGATTTATTTGCTTCATCAACTGGATTAACAAATTGACCACCACTAGGTTCTTTTTTCTTTTCAAATGTATTTTGATCTTCTTTAGATACTAGAAATGAAGAAAACAAAACATGATTTTCATTGTTTCTTTTTTTTGTAATTTGTATACATACATGCTTCTCGATCACCTTGAGTTTCACGAATTGAAAATTTTCGTGGAGCAAAATCAACTTGACCAGCTTCAGGACTTTGTAAATTTAACTAAAAGAATAATTTTAATATAGATAAATTATCAAACCCAAATATAATCTATATTTACACGAAGAAATGGTTTCCAAGTAAGATCTAAATGTTTGAATGTTAATGGAACACCCATAGGATTAATAATTTCTCGTTCTTTTTTTGATAATGGTTTAGCACCACCACGTGGTGGACGAGTTTCCCAGAGAAGAACTTGACTAAAATAAATATTTAATTCATTAACAAAATTATCATACAAGATATAATTGATTAATAGTACCTATCAAATGAACAGGTCATTATTTGAGAACAAGTCATGGAAAGATTCTCTGTTGGTAAACCTTGAGTAGTAATCTAGAATGATAATTTATAAATTTTAACAAAAATAAAATTTTATTTGTTAATACCTGAAAATGATCAGGAATCCATTGGAGATCTGTTATAGGTTCTGAATGACCATTTTCAATACTTGAAACAGCACAAAAACGAATATGTGGCGTTTGAAAAAAACTTTCATCTTCATAACCAGGCTATGAGAAATAATATTTTTGGTTTTAGTAGTTTTTTATGAATATTTTGTTTTTTTACTTACAATAAATAAATCTTTATCACGATGATCACCACGTGGATTTCTAATACGATCTTCATATTCTTTAATATCCCACATAACAACTTGTCCATTCACACAACCACCAGCTATAACATGTGGATCTGTAGGTGAAAATTGAAAACATTGTATATCATCTGGAGCTTCCAAATATAACTATAATAAAGACAAAAAAAATGTAAAAAATCAAATGAATATTAAAAATTCTACTTTTGGTTGAATTGGATCAACAAATGACCACATAAAAATTAACGATGGTGATGTTATCGTACGACTCATATTATCTGCTCGTTCATCAAAACTTTGTCCAGCAGCAAGTGATACAGCAATAATACCTCGTATTGTTGGATGCCATTGAATACATGTAACAATCATATCTCGAGATTGTTTAATAGATGAAAATGATTGATATTCCTTTTCAAATAAATTTCATAAGTAAATTTATATATTTAATAGCATTAAACATACTCTAAGATGTGAATCACCTGGTCCACCTAATCCTTCAAGATCACCACCAAGTTCATTCCAATCAAGATAAAATGGATTATGAATTACATTTTGTTGAAGAGCTTCCTTAAATCTAAATCAAAGTCAAATTAATAGATAATCATTTTTATATTTTATAACATACAAATCTTGTGAATGCATGATCATATCTATTAATTGTTCATCCTTCATCGTTTTTGTTTGTTCTTCGTCTGTAAATGTACGTGCTTCGTATTGAGTCCATTGATTTTTTGGATAACGCCAAATTGTTTGAGAAGAATTTTCACGATGTTCTGCTGCTGCCTATTTATTCAGGAAATAAAATAAAGAACAATCTTAGAACAAAACGTTATACCTGAACACTACTGTCAAGTTCCATTTTTTTTAAATCAAATTGTTTATCTTCATATTGTTCAATACAAATAATATTTTTTTTTCGATCAATATCAGGATCAACATCCTTGAATTTTTCACTTGGTGCAACAGCTTTTGCTGAACGTGATGGAACTTTGATTTTAAAACGTTTCTATTTAAAAAAATAAATTAAATTATGAATCTCTATAAAAAAAACAATATTTTATTACAAGTGGTCGATTCGTTATTAAACGTTCATTTTCAATTTCAACTTCACTTCCAAGTGATATCCATGTTTTCGGTTCTGGTGGTACATATTGTTCAGTATCATCTGCTTCTTGAATTGGTAATGTAACAGGTGGCTAAACAAAAATTTATTATTTACAAATAATAATTAAAATAACTGATTACTTACATTTGCAATAAAATTCTTCAATAAAGGATCAAAACAAATAACTATAAGTAGAGAAAAAATAAGATAATTAAACTAAATCTAATATATATACGTACGAAAATTTTGTGAATAATAATAATCATAATCATAAACAATAGCAATTTCATTTTCTGGATAATTCTAAAAATAATTATTATTATATTATTAAGAATAGAAATAATGTCAAACTTGTATTTGTTCTTTGAATTCATAAAAATTCGAACCTTGTCCAAGACTTTCTATATCTTTAAGAAGAACTTCTTTATCAATCATTTTTGTATTATTTTCTTGTGTGACATCTTCATCAACACTTAATTGTAAGGCTTGTTGAGTTGCTGATGATATAAAAATCGAATGAATATTTGGTGGTAAATCTAAAAAGAAAATTTAAAATTGTAAATATTTTTGAATAATTTATTATCGTTCTTACATTGAGCATTTTCTGAAACTTCTCGTAGTGTTGCTGATTTCACGACTTAAATATACATTTATAGATTTGTTTTAAATCAAAATTGAATAAGAATAATTATACCTGGAAGTGGACTAGCTGCCACTTGATTTTTTGCAGGTGAATTAAGTTTATTAGGTCCTTTAGTTGCAGAAGTAGTGCTTGTAACATTTGATCGACCAGCCGGTGAATTACTTTGAGGTGGAGGACCAGGACGACGTTGAGCAGAAGCTGCTTGTGGTGTTGGGGATTGATTAACTGTCGATTTTGGTGTAGTCGTTTTCGCTGGTGCTTGTTTACCACTCATTGTATTAGTTTTCGAAATAAGAATATAAATTTTATATTCTAATGAATTCTCATCGCCATTATTATAGTTATGTACTATGACGACGATTGATCAAACGAATACAGATGTCGTTATAGTTCGTTGATGAACATAAATTTCTTTGTTTGAAAACGAACGTATAAATGAAATAGATAATAATACGAAGTAAAAATTTGAAATTGTTCAATCTATTTATGGATAGTATTTGTAATTCAGGTGTTAGTCTAATACTTAATCCAGATATTGCAAATGTTATCAATGATAATCAACATCAACATGATTTATCTACATGTGAAGAAGAATTTGAAAATCAAGAAGAAATTGAACAAATGCTAGTCAATGCATTTGATAGTCAATCATTAACAAATACAGATAATGATGAACATATTTTTGATGAGGACGACGACGACGATGATGGTGATGATCATGAACAAAAGCAAATATCAATTGCAAAGTATTTTCTTATGTTAATTTTATTATTTAGTTTTGTCTTGCTTCTTAGTCCAGTAATAGAAGATCATAGTATTCTTCTACAAGAAAATGAAAATTTACGTCATCGTTTAGCTGAATATGCAACAAACGAAGAAATTTATCAAAAGAATGCCTTAGAACATGAACGTCAAATGAATGAATTAAATGAAAATTATGAACAAAAACTTTTTACACTTCGTCTTGATTATGAAACGAAAATTGAACAATTAACAAGTAAAACAAGTGAACAGCAAATTGAAATGTTGACACTAAAACAAATGTATGAAACTATATTTGATGAAAAATGTCATGTTGATGAACAATTAAATGATATTCGATTAAATGAACAAAATCTTCAAGAAAAATTCAATAAAATACAACTAGAATACGATCAACTATTAAAATTAAATAGAAAACCATTAATGATTAACATTGTTACTCAAACCGTAAGGAGAATTCTATTGAATCGTCAAAATGTATTTCTTCTGATTTTAGGAAAATGATACTGAAGCTCAACAACAAAATCTTGAATTAGTTGATGAAGTCACACGATTATCAGATCAATTAAAATTATTACAAAATCAATATAATGAACGTGAACAATTCTATTCAACTGAAAAGATTCAATATGAAAAAACTATTAAAGAAATTTCTAAACAACCAACTATGACTTCTATTCAACTACAAACAGTAAAGTATTGTATTTTATAGAAATTTTCTTTTATATGAAGTTTCTTCTTTTTCAAGGATTTTATTGATGATGATAGAAAAAGTAAACAGTTACAGAATGAAGTTGATGATTATAAATTAAAATTAAATAGTAAACAAATTGAAATCAATAGTTTAAAATTTGATTATGATAATTTAAAACATGAAATGAATGATCGTTTATCATTATTAACAAAAAATCTATCTACGGAACAATTAGATAGAGTTATATCTGAACGTGATCAATATTTAAATGAATTAAATAAATTTAAAAATGAATTACCAGAATTAAAACAACAAATGATTGATAGTTTTCAAACGAAAGTTTTAACATTTAAAGAACAAGTTAAAAAATCTTTAAATGACAAAGAAAATGATTATAGAAAAAAAATTCATGAAATGGAAAATGAATATATTTATCAATATGAACAAGTTCTGGAGAAAAATAAACAAGCTGTTCGAGCATTAATTGCATCGAAACAAGAAGAACATAATATTGAAAAAGTATATTAATAATTTCGAAATCAATTATTATATTTATTTAATTTAATTTAGAATAAAATGATATCAGAATATGAAGAAAAATTGAAAACATCTCAGAAACAACAAGTAAGAAAGAGTAGTACAATAAGTCAGTGGCGGATTTAGGGCGGAGCGACGGGGGTGATTGCCCCTCCTTCCGAATTTTTTTTTGATTTTTTACAGCAAAAATGAACGAAAAAATAGGTTCACACTACTTCGGTTGGACTCATAAAATAGTTTTTAACCAAAATCACCCCGCTCCCTTCCAGAATCCTAGATCCGCCACTGCAATAAGTATACGTAAGGAACCATGAGTCAGGGTTATATTATGGAAATAAATACGTAGTTATAAATAATTTGTCCTTAAAACAGAACAAAACGAAAATTAATCGAGCCATATGGTGCACTAGTTGACAATGTTGACATTGTACTTTCCAGGTTCTTTTGATATTTCTTCTAATGAAAGATCGTCGACTAGTGTTTCAGTATATACTTGTTATGAATCGATCTTTTAATTTTTTTACTTTAGTTAACCGACGATGAACGACGTATATTTGAACAAAAAATCGATGAATTAACTCGTGCTAATGGTAAATGTAGTCAGTATATAGCAAGACGTGAACAAGAGCATCGTCAACGTGAAAGTACAGGTTTTACTCTTCAGCAACTCGATGAAATCAGACGAAAATATAACGATGAAATTCATCGATTATATGATCAAGTATGTATTTATTTTAACATCTATAGTTTTTTTTGAATATTTTATTTTAAGATCGCCAAACAAAACGAGCAACAAATAAAATTAATTGATGAACATCAAAAACAAATTGAACAGACAAAAACTACATATGATCAACGATATCGTATACTTTTAGATGAATGGAAAGCATATAATGATGATTTACATTTAAATAATACAAAACTTAAAACGAAATTAAAAGAATATGAGAAAATTATCGTACAATTACGTTATCATATGATAAATTTGCAAATTGAATATTTGCAAAATGGTGGAAATTCAAATAAAATACTTTCAATACCAAATGAAATTAAATAAATAAATAGATAAAATTTGTCTTCTATAAATGAATAAGTGTTGATACAAGTTTTCGATATTGAATTCGACCATTTTTTGTTCGAGCATCAGTTGATTGAATCATATCATCAACAGAATCTTTTGATAATTGTTCACCAGTTTGTTGCATTAGAAAACGAAAATCATTCTCAGATATTGTTTCTATGTAAAAATAAATAAATAAAAATAGAAAAAACGAATTATTTCTTTTTTGTTCTTACCATCATTTTGTGTATCAAATAACTTTAAAGCCGATAAAATTGTTTGAGTTTGTTTTGTTAAATTTGGTTGTTCAGTCGCCGCAATAATTTGTAATAATTGTGGAAAATTAATTTGATCTGTTTTATCTGAATCAAATTTTTTCATTAAATCATTGATTTCACGATTACTAATAGAATATTGCATTGCTCGAAGACACATACAAAGTTGTGAACGTGTTATTGAACCATCACTATCATCATCAACCATAGAAAAGATTTCTTTTATTTCATTGATACGTTCTTCAGTAAGCGACATAATTCACCCGTATAGGAAAATAAAGAATGAAGGCTCGTTCAACAAAAATGTGACCGCGCTCTGTTCTGTTTCTTTCTCTCTCTCTCTTTTACTCCGAAAAAAAAAGAAAAGCGGACGGCATCTCATCGTTCTTTTCCATTTATTTGCTACAGACGACAAGACGTATAAGAAGAAAAAAATCACTAGGGTCTTATATTCGTCTTTCTCAGTATGGTCGTCTCGTTTTTTTCTCTATCATATATTTATTTAAAACAAAATATATATGACCCCATCGACGAAAAAAAAACGCAATATAATTGTAATAAAGAATATATATCTAAATAAAATCGAAACTATACTATTTAACATCTTTAAATAATTTACTGTTCGATTTCTCAGGACATATCTATTTAATTATATTTCTACGTCTAATTTATATTATAATGAACAGGCAACGGAAATAAACTTTCATTTTTAATATACAAAATATATATATTGTCTAAAAATAAAATAAATTAGAAGAAAAAACGTACTTCATTACTCCTACGTTTTATTTTGAATGTCATTTTAATTACAGAAGACAATAAATAACTATTTAAAGATGTGAATAAATTATTTTAATAAGTATTCAACTAAAAAAATTTCATCCGAGATCTTGATAATATCTCAGAATAATATATATAGATATGTAGCCATTTTTTTTATAAATACTTAATCGATCGATAACGCCCCCTATCTTATCCTTTGTCTTGTTCGTCATTTTTCTCGAATGAGTATTGTCTCTGTTTGCTAGCTTGTTTATTGTTTGTTTCAATCAATGATCAGTTGAATATCGATAACTAAAATATAAAATTGATTATAGTTTAGATATCGAGTGATATAAAAATGAATTTACATAATGATAAAGAACTTGGCGATCTGCTCGATCTCAATGCTGTAAGTAACGAATAATATTCAATATAATCATATTATTTAATAAAAAAAAAAGTACAACAAAAAAAAAGAAACGCAAATTTTGACTTAGGTCAAACATCGAACACGTTTTTCAAATAATATTATTAGTACATCATCCTCAGCATCATCTGGACTTTCATCATCGGTATATGTCTTGCTATTGTGATTGTTATTTGCATGTTTTCTATATATATATATATATATATATAAAATTAAAATTGTTATATATTATTATTCATTTTTTTGTCTTCTCTCGTTTAGATGTTAAATTCAGCAACTCCGTATTCAAATGGAGCTTTAGTTCCACCATCTTCAACAAATCCTGAAGCTATGTATGCGACAAATACAAATAAAGGTTTGATTTTATTATTTTAATTCTTGAAAATCATTAAAAAAAATTTTTTTTTAGATTATTGGATACCAGCAACAACTTATGACGAACCGGTTTGTTTGATTAAGAAGAATAAAAAGATTATTTATGTAATTTTCATTTTGATAGATTTATGAAGGAAATTATAGCAATCGTGATATTCTTCACCCATTTATAACATCTGAACCATTACGTATGATAACAAAATATTCATGTTCGTTTTATTGAATGTTACTTTTTTTTCTAGATCGATCTAGTGAATTATCTTCATCGCATCCAGTAAGTTAAATTAACTATATAATGATAATCAATTTATTTATATATTTTAGACATCACGAACAACAACCAATGATTTGACATATTCCGGTAAGAAATTTTTATTATTGATTATAAATTATTATTTTTTTTTGTATTTTTATTTATAGAAAAATTGAATGAAAAACCTCGACGACCGCCGACAAATGTAAGTTATGACTTCTATTTATTGTCATAAAACATTTTGTCACTCTCTGTAATTATTTAAACGTTTACTCAAATTAGTGATGAATGTATTAGATATTTATTGCTTTTCCTATACATGCGAACGATCTGGTTAAGATCAAGCGAACACATACATACATCGTTCATTCTTTTCCATTCTCATTTTAAAAAAAAAATTCACTCGTCCAAATTGAACGCACGCGAATAGCGCAGGAGAGAGAGACAGGGAGAAGAGAAGAAGAAAAAAAAGAATGGGAGTCATACTAGTGCCTTATTGATCATCGAACACATACATATATACATATATTCGTCGGGCATCGTTGAAGACAATACTAGCAATGACCTTGCTTCATTATGAACCATATTTGGTAAATTCTTCTAGTTTTTCTTTGTCTTATATATATATATATATAAATATATCTTTATCTTTATTTGTGACATTGAATATTGACGTGTGAGTAATTGATATAATTATTTGCTGTCGTTGTTTCTGACATAACGACATCTTTTTTTTGTCAGAAGACAACTTTGTTAATTTATTCGATGAAAAAAAAAATCATCTCTATTCTTTTCTTTTTTCCTTTTTTTTTGAAAATCGAAAAAGAAAATGAGAAACTCACGGTTCACTTGTGACATCATTTTTTTTTCTTCTATGTGCAACAGCTGGAAGAATAAAATGAATTTTGAAGAGAATGAGAAAAATTCACTTTGTCTATCTTATTCTTTCTCTATACATATGATTATATGTATTGTCTGACCGAACTCTTCTATGTGATAAAATTAATAGTCATGTTTATCTACATTCGATGGTACACGAACGAGCTTTCCAGCTGCGCTGCAAGCTTTTACTCTCTGTAAACATAATATATGTATTTAGCAGTGAATGTAAAAAAAAGGACAAACAATGTAATAAACGCTCTCTCTCTCTCTCTCTTGTCGTGAGATATGATAATACATATTCGTTTGTTACTATTGCTTGTTTCCGACAATGATAAATGAGTAAAAAAAAAGAAAGAAAATAAGAAGCGTTAATCGACTTTATGTATGTGTATATATACAAAAGAAGACACAAGCTTGTGTAATTGTTTGACGATATAAACATGTATATGTATATATATATATATTAAAAAAAGTCTAATGAGATATGTAGCTTAAAGAATAAGCAAAATTAATATAAGAATAGAACTTCGTTCGTTCTAATTATATTGCTTAGAATACAGTTGTTTATCTTCAGTTACTGGATTTATTCATTCGCCCGGACGAGCGCGATGCCTGCTTGAGATATAAGCCTTTGTCTTTATATTTATTATTTCACCTTCTTGCTCTCTCTCTCTCTCTCTTTCTCCCCCCTTTCCCTTTCTCTTTCTTCCGATGCAAACAAAAAAAAAAGAAGAAGAAGAAAACGAAGAAAGAGAGCGATGATGATGATTTTTTTTATATGCATCTCATTTCTCTCTTTCCTGTTCGTATTCCCGCCTCTAGTTAACACATCGTAAGATAAGGATATCTCGCTGCTCCAGTGAAAGGTCTCCTATAACGATTGACTTTCTTTTTTTGGTTTTATCAAGCAATGTTATACGTCCAGTTTATTTGACACAATAATTAGAAGTCAATTAAATATTTTCTTTTTCGTCTGACATAATACAAACTGTGATGAAATAATCATATATTTTTCTTCATTATACTTATATATATACATATATAATAAATGTTCTACTATTCACGGCCATCATATCAGGTATTGTTTTATTTGATCTTAAGAAAGTAAAAGATCTTTCGGATTAAAATTGTTTCTTCAAGAACAAAACAGAAAAAAAAGATGAAGATGAAGAAGAAGAAAGAGATTCTTTTTTCCTGTCTATTGGCAATTGATCGAATCGAGTAGAAAAAAGATAATGCTAATCAACACATTCTCATTTGCTCAATCGAGCCGATGTGAATGTCAGCATGGATTGCGATCGCACGTCCTTTGATCTCGTGCCGAGTGAGCACAAACAAACGAACCTTTTTCTCTTGATTAGTCAACATAGAAATCAGTGGGTGTTCGAAGTTTTTTTTATGAATTGATACGTCGTCGTCGTCATCATCATCGTCAATCTAAGACTGTTGATTTTAGTGATGAGCAAATGTATACCGCGTGTTTTCTCTTTCATGAAGTCATCATCAAAACTTCGTTCTGTATATACACATATATATGTATTTATAGAACGATGTTTATTACTGGCAAATGTGTATTATTCTATGTTTCTATTGGAAAAGAAAGATAATAATAATCAAGAAAAAAAAACCCTAATTCGAATTAATTTAGTTAGTATGGAATCTATAATGATGAGAGAGTACTTGTGTGATTTATTCTAAAGTATTTACACATGAGATCAATCAAAACAAGTTAGATATTAATGTGCTAAAGACATTTGTTATCGATCTCTTATACAATCGTTCTTTTTTCTTTATATTAGGTTTATACATCAGAAGATTATAATCCGGAAAATCCTGGACGATATCCAAATGCGAAATCAGTCTATGGAAATGAATCCAATTATTTTGTTGGTTAGTAAAAAGCAAAGATTTTTTTTTTTCTTTCTAAAAAATTTTTTTTTCTTCTTATCAATTAGATAGTCAAAGTGGTAATCCATGGTTAGGACCACCATCAAATTATATACCAAATGATCATGGAACATTTACGGATGCCAATGGAACATGTTTACCATCAATGGCAAGTTTTCGACCACAACAACAACCAACATATTCGAGTAATGGCAATGAACAAACAGTACAAACTGGAGAAACACTTGGCAAAGCATTACAATCTGTATGAAATTGTTTTTTTTAGCAAAATCAAAAATTGAACATACCTATTTTTAGATTTATCCAAATGATCATCCTTATACTTCAACATCATCAACATCTGGCGCATCACCACCAGTGAATGGTATAGATTTAATACAAAGAAAAAAAAATGTTCTTTTATTCTATTGATTTAATATTTATTAGGATCTAGTCAAGCATGGGTCAATGCTACACAAACATATCATCCTCTTGTAAGTTTCTTTTTGTTGTCTTCTTCTTATTTATTAAAAATACCTCATCATATTTCTAAACTTAAAAATCAGACATCATTAATTGATCTATCTGATGATTCTTATTGTTTACTCAATTTAAATGAGGTTTGTTGATGTATAAATATATGTGTCTATATAATCTTTGGGAATGGAAATAGATTATTTTTTTCTGCTTCAAATTTGATTTCTTAGTATAAATGAAATACGAAAAGAAAAAAGAAAAATTCTCAAATTTATTTTAGCCACCAAGATTAGATGTCGATGATTCTTTTCGATTAAATGATTATCATCATTATTATACTGGTTATCATCATCCACATTCCACTGGAACATATCCACCATTTTTAAGTCATCCAACAGCAGCAGCAACAGCAGCAGCAGTACCAACAACATCGGATACATCAACACGAAATCGACATCATGATCCATATTTACCTTGTAAATATCGAAAAAAAAAACTTAAATTTTTATTTATCATAAAACGATTTTTTTAGATGGTAATCCATCATCAACATCATCATCCACATCATCAACTGATGCTAATATAACATCTGCAAATGCTGATTTAAAATTAGAATCTCTTGATAAAGTTAAAGTTAATGTTGAAAATAAACCACCACCATCAACAAATGGTACATCACAATTAACAACAGGTAAATTACATGAATTTAATCATCGACGTGATATATCAGAAGAGAATGCAACACCATTAACCATTGCTGTTGGTGGTGCAAGTGGTATACGTACTGGCCCAATATCATCATCATCAACAAAAATACGAAAGTAAGTTAAATAAGAAAATTTATTTGAATTGAAAATAATTTTTTTTGTGATCTCTTTTTTTCTTAGTTCATTAACACTTAGTCCAAATAGTCATTTAAATTTATCATATATGCATGGTGGACCCGGATCGGAAGAAAGTATTGATCCTAATGAAACACCTGAAGAACGTGAACGACGCGAAAAAGATCGTCGAGCTGCTAATAATGCTCGCGAAAGGTAAGAAAATAAAATTTAAAAAAAAATATTTTTGAAAAATTTCCTTGTCGTTTCTTTAAAGATTACGTGTTAGAGATATAAATGATGCATTTAAAGAACTTGGTCGTATGTGTGCTATTCATATGCGTAATGATAAACCAGTTACAAAATTAGGTGTACTTCAACAAGCAGTTAATTTAATAACAACACTTGAACATCAAGTTCGAGGTAAAGAATAAAATCAATTTTATATTTATTTTTAAATTATTTACTTATTTGTTAGAACGTAATTTAAATCCAAAAGCTGCATGTTTACGTCGACGTGAAGAAGAAAAATCTGAAGATCAGAATGGAAATATGAATTTATCCCAAGCTCAAATATTAATGCCAAATGAATCTTCATCAACTGATGGAACGAATTTTATGGAACAAATGCATCAATCAATACCACCATCTTATTGGCAACAATGAATAGATTTGTTAATAATTATGATTTGCTTATCGGTGCCTTTATCTTTACCCCTTTCTTTTTTTTCTTCTCTTTCTCTGTCTAATATACATACATGACCAATATAAATTTTTGTTTTTGTTTTTTTTTAGTATTTACCTGTATTTTTCTTTTCTGTAAACATGATCATGATGTGCAACTATAAATGAAATATTGAGATAGGATAAGACAGTATTTTCCTTTTGTGCGTTTTTTTTCTCTCTCTCATGATTGTGCATATTATACATCTCATATTGTGCAATCTTTCATCTTATGAGCCAGCAATATATTGTATGATCGTTGTTATTTGTCAAATGTCTCAAATGTATTGTTCTTATTTCTTGTTGTTGTTGTTGTTGTTGCTGTTAATGCATTATTTTTTACCAATTGGGATTGACATAATGTATAAATATCTTAGATTGAATATTAAATTTTTCTTCTCTTTGCTTTTTTTTTCTCTCTTTTTCTTTTTCTTTTTTGTTTGTACAAAATGTTTCTTTCATTACGCGCACGTCTAGTAGAAAATCATGTTTCATTTTTTTCTCTTTTCGTCCATTGATCTGTTAACTGTTTGTTTTCTTCTTCTTCTTCATCTTCATCTTCATCTTCAACTTCTCGTACTGTTTGACATCTCTCATCTTTCGAAATTTCTTTGTTTAATTTCTCAATTGTCGTGCTTGCTTTTGAGTATTTCCTCTCTTATCCTTATTGCCAAATATACACTAAGGAAAAATGCACGCGTTCAAATATAAAATAAAATAAAATGACAAAGAATAAGATTTATGTGTAAGTATTTGAAAAGAAAGAGAAGACGTAATATATATATGTGATTGATACCAATAAGAAAGTCATTTTTCTTGTCTTTCGTATACTGATAGCTTATTAAAAGATACTCTGTCTTAATTGATTTATACATGAATTATTGATTGGACTTTTTTTTTTGATGGAGAACATATTTTGTTAATTTATAAAGAAATAATGTTAGCAAAATGGACTCGAGGTCAAAAAACAAAGCGCATTATGCAAAGAAATGATTAGTTTAAGTACTTTAATTGTAGTGTGCATACCGAAACTTTCAAACCATCGTGAGTTGTGAAATTAGAAGGTTCATTTATAGTCTAGTTTCAGTAGGAATATCGATCGACATATTTCAAACCAGCCAGATCAATGCTAAAGAAAAATATCTGTACATAATCTCTTGAATCTTGAAATTTAACAAAAGAGAGATTGTTATCGATGTATTTAATACAATTAACAAATCTAATCTTGATCATGAATTTCAACAAAAATTGATATTTATTCTATTTCATTACCGTCCTTTTCTTCACTTTCCTTTCAGCTCGACAGATATTCTTTCTTAATCTGAAAAAAAACGACCATGTTATTTATTTAATATAAGTACAATTCAAAATCATTATCTCAATAATAGAATGACATAAATATCTTTTAATAGTTACATATCTGTCAGGAAGCGTATAACAGATTGTTTCGTGGGTTATTCTTTTTTTAATTTCGTTTTATTGAATAAATCTGTTCGACAAATACATCTAGATATGAGTTAAATATCATGACTAGTAGTTTATTAGACAAAACAAAGTTAAGCTTGATTATTTGATTAATATACAATTATGAACGTTTTTTCGTAGTTCGTTTAGGTGATGTTGATTGTCGTTGTCTTTTTCCTTGAGTAAATGGTTGTAAATCACGTCGTGAACCATAATTTAATATACGTTCAAGTACAAAATTTTCATCAGCAAATTCATCTTTTTTCTTCATTAGAAGCCATTGATTTGCACGCTGATTTGATCCAAATCGAGATCGAATCATATGAAATTCACCTTGTAATTTTTTTCCATAAAGTTTAAATGTTAATTTTCCTTTTTCTATTCCTGCATTCGTATCAAGTTCATCCAAGGGTTCATACGTTCCGATATCCCATGTACGTACTTCACCTAATTACAACAAAAGAAATAAATAATAATGTAAAAATTTCCTCAGTTAAATACAACCTGCTCCATATTCTCCATCTGGTATTTTTCCTTCAAAATTCATATATGGTATTGGATGATCTTCAACCATAATTGCTAAACGTTTATCCCGAGGATTCAAACTTGGTCCTTTTGGTATCGACCTGTTTATATTATCTTTAATAATCTATTTTTCTTGTCAAGATTCTATTATACATACCAACTATAAAAGAATAAAATACATATACATATTGTATTTTGAATTCTAAATCTACCTTTTCATAACACCATTATATTCTAGTCGAAAATCAAAATGAAGTATGGACGCATGATGTTCTTGAACAACAAATCGATATTCATTTGTATTAATATCATTATCTGATGGTTTTGGTTCATTTGTTTTTTTAAAATCACGTTTTTCCTCATAGTCTCCAAGTGAATTTTTCGATGACATATTTTTCTGCTACAGTAAAAAAATAAAAGTTTTCTTTATCCGAAACCCGCCATTACGAAATACACCTACATTCGATCGATAGATTGTTAAAAATAAATATCTATTCAATAAAAATTTCGATGATATCATAAATTATAATCTGATTGAAAGAAGAAAAAAAAAATTTCATTTTATTATTTTCTAATTTTCAGTAAAATGTGAAAAAGAAACCAACAATGACAACAACAACAACGAAAAAAGGAAGTATATATTTATAGATTTTTAATAGAGAAGATCAATTTAAGATTAAAATTAAAAAGAAAAACAAAGGTATAGACACAAAAAACAATATAACGATTTATTCTTTGATTTTCGTTGCGTTTTTATTGTCACTGTGTAATATACAAAACAAAATATCTGACAGATATACATTTAAAACTCGATTATCATGCATACGGATTCGATTTTTGTCTTGGTTTAATTTTTTCTGATTGTATCCATTGAGCTTCTTCATTCATAAAATCATCAAAATTATTAAAAAAATACAATATACGATCGTTACGAGTAAATTTATGTTCCCTAAAAATACAAAAATTAAATTCTATTTATCATAGAAAATATTTAAATTACCATTTACGACAATAACGAAGTTTATGTAAGATTGTAAATTGTTGCCAACGTTTCCAAAAATTAACTGTTCGACCATCTTGTAAACAATCTGTATTACCAATATGAACAAATGTTAAATCAGATAGAATTAAACCAATATAAGGAATACATGGTTGACCAACGGATGCATTTAATGCTTCACGATAGTTTTTAAATGAACCAGTACTATCAATAAGTCCAGCATGTTCAGAAATCGCCTGAAATTAACACAAAAAAATAGAATTGATAAAACTGAAACAGAAAATTAATTCTTACATCGATTATACTTTTCGACCAATGCAGTCGTTTTATTGGACCACAATCAAGAGCCGAGAGAATAGCCAAATATGAATTGAAGTTATTTAATCGTCGTAGATGCTAAATTAAATATATATATATAGTTTTGACCAAAAAATATATTAACAGTCCTGGATATTTATTAATCGAGATTATCCTCTTCAGACATTAGTAATAGAATTGGCTTAAATACAAAATACACTTAATTGCTAATATTACTATTCATAAAATCTAAAGAAAACAGTACCGACTTCAACAAATGATAAGAGTATTCTGTATTGAAGAATTTCTATTACAAATCTTAATATTATTCAAGATAATAATAAATTAGACTATTGATTTCTTTAAAACTACCCACTATACTTCATATTATAGTGTGATAAAACCCTGGAGAAATGACACGAATGAGTCTATCATTAAAATATTACCTTTAAAATTTTAAGGAATTTTTCAAAATAAATTTCACGTTGTTTTTGTGAATTTTGTTCAAGTATTCGAGATCTTATCCTAGAAATACAAAGAAATTTATTTATAATCTTAATCAAAACTAGAAATATTTATTACCAATAAGATATATTATTAAAATGTTCGGTAAATGCTGCTAAATTCGGTGAATATTCTTCACCTCTTTCAATTGACATATACAATACTTCTGATAATTGAATTTTAAGAAATAATTCCGAATCAAGTAATGTTAATTGTTCACTTATATCACTTGCATGAAAATCAAGTAATGTTGCTCGTTTTGATGATATAGAATTTTGTATAACAACAATATCTTGTTGAATTTGTTCATTTGGTATTAAAAATTTATTGAAACGTTCAAGTGATTTTCTTCGTAGAAGTTTAGCTAATTGAAGTTCACCATGACGAATTAAATTCGTAACAAAATTTGAAAGAGATTTCATTAAATCTTCTGTTAATTCATTATCGATTTCATCAATAACACGAATAAGAAGGGAAAATGCATATCGAGCTATTTTTTTCTTTGCTTCAAATTGTGAGAAAAATGTATAACGTTGAATAAGTTTGTCAATTAAATCACTCGGAGATACAAATGTACGATAAGTTGTTAGAAATGCTTCTTGATAAACAAAATCTAAAGATATTTTTATATAAATACAGATGGCTAACTATTAAATTTATACCTTTTTTATCAGATGATGTTGCACGAATAATTAATGCATCAATAGAACCACCACGTAATGAAGGATCTTCATTCTAAATTGTAAAACATAGATATATGTGGAATCAAAAAAACCGTCGATAAATACCGTATTGAAAACAAGTAGATGGGAAATATTTTCAAGAAAAAGATCACTATGATAATCAGTTTTTAATGGATTATTATAAAGATTAGATGCATCGATGTCTTCATTGTCTTTTAGAGATCCATTTGATTTATTAGCAGTTTTAACTGTTGGTGTTGTTTCTTTAGTTTTTAATGAGTCATCACTGTTAGAAAATATTTGCATTTGTTGGAAGTGTTGTTGAATTTGTTCAAATAAATCTTCAAATCGACGTTGTGATGTCGGAACAAGACATGTATTACGAAGAAATATTTCAGCAACATTTTGATCATATCGATCAAATAAGGACATATAAGCACGAGCTAAAAGGAAAAGTACGTTTCAAAAGAGCTTAGTAAAATAAAAAAAGTGAAAAATTTTTATATTAAAGGAAATACTGCTTGACGACTACTTCCGTTTTCTTTTTTAATCTAATCAAATCAAATAAAAGCATTTCGAGTATGACACTAATAATATTCTACTAGAGAATTCTCATGAGTTCTAATGAAATGTCAAAACTATTTCATAGGATTTCTTCTATCCGGTTTCCGTTTCCTGTTTTCTATAGATTTTTTTCTTTTTCATAGTTGTATAAACCTGTTTTTCGTTTTGGTGGTAATGGTGGTGGTTCATTACTAATATTTTCATTATCCGATAGATTTATTTGACTTATTTGAGATGTCATCATTGATTTTTGTTGTTCATCTCCATCATTTAATTTTTCACGATTAATAAATGAAAATTTTTGTGTTTGAAAATTTCCTTTGGGTGATTGAATCAAACAATCTGTTTCATTATATAATTGACATGATTGTTTTCTATCAGTTATTCCATGTCCATTATTAACTGTTGTTTTTGTTATAGTATTTTTCATTATTTTTGATATTTGTGTTTCATATAATGTATCAATACTATTATGACGATAGGGTGTTGTTAATTTTAAAGAAAAATTTTCATCGGATATTTGATCAATAGAAGGAGAACGAACTGTAGTTTTTGTACGTATTGCATCATCTAATTCACGTGTATATTTTTCAACAATTTGATTAATATCATCAACAATTAATTGTATACATTCATCATTATCTTTATCTTGTTTGATTTTATTCGATGATGAAGAAAGTAAAAGTGAATTTGAACTACCATTCGTTCTTGAATGATTAGATATAATTGTAGTTGAGGAATTTATCGGATGTTTATCTCGTTTTGGAGGAAGGACAGGAAGTGAATCATCATTAAAACTAAAGTGAAACACATATTTGTAAAGGTTTTTTTTATTGTATTCAAGCAAATTCTACCTATTAAGTGATTGAAAGCTTTGAAATGAATCCGAACGTGTTTCAGCACTTTGAATTGATGATGTATCACATGCATAGGAAATACAATTCTGCAAAAAAAAATGATGGATGATTTTTAAAATAAATATTGTCTTACATTTATTGCTTGGAGAAGATCATGTGCAAGTTTTTTATATTTATCATCATGATTGATTTGATTTTTGGTATCATTTGCTTTTAATAAAAGTAATTTATCAGACCAATCAATTAAATTCGCTAGGAGAGAATAAACATCACTAAGAAGATGTGTTCTAAAGAAAAATGAATTAAATTATAAATAAAATAAAAATGTTTTTTACCTAAATGATGCTGGTTCATGTTCGAATATTCCTTTTAGTACACTTTCAATATCAAAGATATTTTCAATTAATGATGTAATAATACTTGCAAGAATTTCAAGTTTATTATGTGTTAAAACTTGATCAAGATAATTTAATGATTTACATACTTCTCTTTCGCTTTTATGTAATCGTTCATAGCATGTTTGAGGTAACTAATAGTATAAAGAATTATTTATATATTATCTAATATGGCAAAAATATTCATACCGATAAAGAACCATTACTTATAATAGAATTTCGATCAGTTTTTTTACGTGATCTATTATGATTTTTATGATGTTCAATAGATGCTGCGTTTATTGTATCAGTTTTACCATTATGTCGATGAACCATATCACCAATAACACGTCGAAGTGAATGTCGAGAAAAAGCCATGGATTTTATATATATATAGATTTGATTTCTATTAAATACTTTATCAACACTTAGATTTAATGAAAGAAAAGAATAGATTTTAGACTTACTTACTTATTTAATCTCGAATTGGTTCGAGTATTGCTGATGGCTATGCATCGATCTGTCGTCACTCGTCACAAGCATACAGGTCAATGACGTAAACTAGTAGTAGCAGAAGCAAAAAACAACATTGCTTCTTCTCTAATATCGATCAATCATCATCATCATCATCGTCGTCGTCATCGTTCGCTTTTCTATCGTTATGTATTCTGTTAGTTGTAGTAGTAGTGCGCACGGCTGCTTGTCGATTGGAATCATAGCATGGCTTCTATCATTATCTAGAGAAGTAGGAAGTAGAAAGACAGATAGAATAGAAAAATAGAGAAGAGAAATAGACTAACGCATTTTCTCTTTTGCTCTAAAGATGAGGAGGAGAAAAAGAGAAGAAGAAGAAGAAGCAATCGTACTCTTAGATCGATCCTTAAGATCAATAAAGAGAGAAGAAAAAAACTAAAGTAATGACAATTTTTTTCTTTTAGCGCCAACGTGAGAAGGTTGTTCTCTTGTCTATTTATGACAGACCATGAATTAATTGTCAATGACAAGTCATCATAATCTGAGGAAAAAATCATCAACTGACAATCAATACGAATATGTCATATAAGAATCAATATATACAACCATCACAAGTCAGTTCTTGTTCTTGAATATAAAACAAGACAGATGAAAAAGAGATGACATATGTCATTCTTTATGTATCTTTTTTTTTATTAATTAGAAATTTTTAGATAAAAATGATATCTATCTTTATTGGGCATCCGGAAGTATATCCTGTTGGTAAATATTTGAAAAAAAAGAAAAAAGAAAACAAAATTGAAAAATGATTATGATATTAGAAATATAATTCTATTAGGAGAGTACAGATTGCTTTAAGTGAAAAACAAATTATCGATTATAAGCATCAACTAATTTTATTAGATCAACATGAACATAGAATGAAGTCGATTATCGATCAAAGTCCACGAGGACAAGTATAGAAAAAGATTAATTATAAGATTTCCTTTTTATTTCTATGAACAACAAAAAAATATAGTTGCCGTTACTCAAAATTGGAAATATTATCCTCAATGAATCTTTAGCAATATGTTTCTATCTTGAAGTAATATTATTAAAAAAAAGAAAAAGCGAGAGTTTTTAATAAAATTATTTAGGATATCATGAAAAATCAAGGTAATAGATTATTACCAGATAATCCATTTTTACGAGCAAAAGTACTTCAATGTACTTATGATGTACGTTACCTTTTTTTTATTATAAATATCATTAGTTTTTGATAGCTGATGAATATATATATATGTAGTCACTTCGATTACAAAAATTTGGTAGTGAAGATGTAATCTATTATATTTGGCATACGCCACCGGAGCGATACGATATGAATTTATTGAAAAAACGTAAAGAGACACTTGTAAATGAATTGATTCGATGGAACAATAGATTGAAAGGACAAAATCAAGAAACTTTATATGCTATCGGCAATGTATTTACACTAGCTGATGTCTTTCTTTTTCCGCAATTGGCATTACTTATTCATTGTGGATATCCGATTCAATTACATGAACAACTCGGTAGTAAGAAAAAAAACGAAAGAATCTCTCCCTAAAAACATAATATGAATTTTTATCCTAAATTTCAACTTCTGTATCTAGATTTCTACTACAAACATCTCTGTAATCGTCCATCGATTCACCAATCATTTCCACCTCATTGGTCAACAACAACTTCCAATATATTAACTGATTGTTCTGATATAATTCTAAACGAAAAATAATTTTTAAATATCATTTTTAATACATTAATTGACTGATCGACAAATTTTAATTATCATGTATAATCTTTACCCTGTATTAATGAATAAAATTCTAATTGTCCATTTGATATTGTTTGTACCCATATAACGTGATTCCAATCGAACAGATAAATTAATTATTAAAGAAATATTTAAACTATTGTTATTAATATTTGATGAGTTCATAGTCCAACCATCATTTCATTTCATGTAAATTATTAACAATCGTCAAAAAAAGAAAGGAATCATCGGGGGAATAAATTATAATTTGACATAAACCATTACTCTAGAATACAGTAAATATAAAATATTTTAACTTACTCGTTGTTATTGATTTGTTCGACATAGAATTATATCCATAATTAAATACCTATAAAATATATATCTGACAAACATATTTACAACAACTTATCTATCGTAAAAGAAAACCTTCACCAGAATAGATCAATAAACTCGACAGTCCATTATTCTACTTGATTAGTTCGATATATTTACTAATCTTACATACTGAATTAATTATACAATGAAGCCTTCAAAATAATCTTACATAAACGAAAACGAAATAGATTTATCACTTCTTCTGTTCATAGCTCTAACCTCTAACTATCATTAGTTTACTAATACGATCGATTCGACATGTGTTTTTAATCTATAGTGAAGTTCATACTAAAGGTTAACATTTAATTGATCACGTTAAACTATAGTTTGAAATTCTAAACTTATTTGTTCTAATGTGTCACTGACATAACTGATAAAAAAAAATAATATTCTTATAACTGAAAAATTTATTTAAAAAAAGTAACAAGCAAAGCAATCTCAGATTATTTATGTTAGTTTTTTGGTTACAGAAATATATTATCTTGATTAGAATACTTAATGCTGTCTGTTTAGTATGTAAAAATATACGTTGTATTATTTCTAAACATTCAGCTTACTTTTATTCTAAAACTAGTTTTGTCCAAGTCAATCGAATTTAAGGTTGTTGTTGGCTGATTGTTTTAATAATAACATCATCTTGATTATCATTATCAAGACCATAACGTGTAAAATGTTTAACCTAAAATTCAAAATCAAATTATATTAAATAATCAATCAAATATTTTTATTTATTTACCATAAATGTCCATGAACCATCATCAACACCATATTTAATAAATTCTCCATCGAATTTTTTAGTTATTTCACGTAAATAATTATCATAATTCATTGCTTTTATACGTTCTATATCAGTTATTTGTTCATGTGTTGTTCGATCAGTTGGATATACTCCAAGTAATGTTATACGAGCTGAACGATTTAATTCTTCACCAACTGATGGTTTATTATTATCATCAGGATAAACAATTACTTCATGATGATTGATTTCAACTAGAAAAATAAAAATAAAAAAAGTTCAAATAAAAATATTCGACATTCATTGACTTACTAATTTCATCAAGATTAAGTCCAGCAAGATTTATTTGACCATAAAATGTTACTGAACCATATTTCTCATGTCCAACAGTAAATTGCTTAACAATACATTGATTTTTATCATTAAATAGAGATTTTAATTCAGTTAGATTTGGTTTCATATAATAATCTTCACGAGTTAAAATTGGTAAACGACAAGTTGAAGAATTAGTATTAGATTTCTGTTGTATTACTGAAGATGATCGTTGTTCAGAAGTAATAGATGGAATTGGCGATGGTGTACGTTTATTATTAATTGATGTTGTTACTGGCACTGATGATGATAGTGGTGGTATATTAGTTAATTTTTCAAGTTCATTTAAATTTCGTAAAGGATAAAGTGAACGAATAGTATTTGATTGATATGGTGAATCAATAATATCATTTGATATACGTAATTTTGACATTTTAGTTCGACTAAGTAAAATATTTTCTTCTTCATCAGTAAAACTTCCTGATAATGGACCTTTTATTTGTTCAATTGATGCTGTAGATTGCTGTTGAGATGATTTTATATCATCGTGTAGTGATGATGATGATGAAGCTGGTTTTAATTTAAAATTAACATCAATTAATGAACGTGATGATGGTATTTTTTGAAAATTCGATTGTATAGGAAGTACAGCTGATATTGGTGTTGATGTTATTAATGGTGTTGTGAATATCGGTGCTGATGTTGCCATTAATGTTGTTGATGAAGCTGAAACAACAGCGGGTTCTGTAAGCATTTGAATTTGATCAGTTTTAGTAAAATCTTTCTTTCCTCGATTAGCATATGGATCAAGAAGTGATGCTGCAAGAAATTGTTGATGAATATTTGAAACTGATTGTTGAGGATTTTGTTCTTCTTGCGATATTGTAGATGATGATGATGATGTTGTAACTGGTTGAGTTTGTGTTACAGGTAAAATTTGAAATGGCTGAGGATTTGAAATTGATGCAAGAGATGATGGTATTGCAAACATATTACTATTTGGAGTTGTATTTGCTGTTGATACTGGTGGATGAAGAGAAGGAAATACTGATATAGTAGTTGTAGGTGCCATATGAAAGTAGTTTCCTGTTGTAGTTGGATTAGTACTATTAGCAGATGTTGTTGTTATCATTGTTTGTGAAAATATATTTCCACTTGTAACCGGTTGAGTATTGAATGGATTCGTTACTGTTGGTGCATTAAAAACTGGTGTTATTCCTGATGCTGTAGTTGTTTTAATATTAAATGGATTTATTATTGTTGCTGTATTAAAAACTGATGTTGTTCCTGATGTTGTTGTTGGTGTAATATTAAATGGATGCGTTTGTGGTAAAGTAGATACTGTAGATATATTCGGTGTTGGTGTTATAGCCCACGGTGCTATTATTGTTGATGCAGATGATGATGGTTGATTGAACAAATTACTCGTTGTAGTAGATATTGTTGGCGGAAACATGCCAAATGGACTTGCTGTTGTTGTAACAGTTTTATTAATACCGAAGATATTTGATGTTGTCGAAGTAGTAGGAACTGTTCCTAAACAGATATTAAACAAATTAAGTTGAGAGATGATTTTGTTGAATGAGAAAAAAGTATTTTTATAAAAAGATAATGAAAGATTTTCAAAAGAAATCAGAAACTTGGAAGCAAAAATCTTCTCTTTAACTATTAGTCTTCTATTCAAAGTTCATCTATTAATTTATTCGAATATTCTTTCATCATATAGATATATTAAAATTTGAAAGTTATAGTTATATGTTCGAAAAAGATAAAGAAAACAAATTGAAATTTACCTTGTGTAGATCCCGCACCAAAATTAAATATTGGCCCTGTTGGATTCGAAGCAAATATATTTGCTGGTTGTGTAACTGATGTCGGTTGATTTGTACCAAATGGAGTCCAACCAGCATGACCTAAACATACGACTAATATAATCATCCTTTCAATACTATTGTGTATTCTATACCTGTAGGTGTGAAATTAGCACCAGTCGATGTTGATTGATTAACAACTGGCTGAATAGTTGATGCAGAAGAAGTGCCAAAGGGATTCCATACTTGTGATGTAGTAACAGGAGGATATGTAAATGGTGATTTGAATGTAGAAAAACCTGCAGAAGTAGTTTCGTGTGATTTACTTGTCGAAAACATAATTTCTATATTTCGTTTAAACGGTCGTTATGATCGTGTATGAGACAATAAATACTAAAATTAACAAATGGAAGAAATTGTACTATGTACAAAAAAAAGTGTTTATTTCACATACATTACGTTTTGTTAAAATGAATGATGACTGATACAGACAACTATTATATAATAGCTGAAATGAGTCAATTGTCAAATATCTAAGAGTAATGACAACAGTGAATTATTGCACAATCACATGAAAAAATGAGTCAGAAATTTTTCCCTTGCAACAGTTGTTGCTCTGAAACTTTCTCTTTCGTTCTGTATACACTCTCAACAGGGTAATTTAATAACCAATAAAATCATCAATTAGATGTCGTGTGTGTGATGATTTTCATTAAATTTATAATTAAAATGAAACTTCCAATAAGAAAAATACATACATTTATTTCGTATATATATATATTCGTTTGATTTTATTATCTTCGAATTTAATTAATGTATGATTTAGAAAGTAATAAACGAATAATATTCATTGATCGTTGTCATTCATGATTTAGTCACTTTATTTGCTTTTATGTGTCAAATAAATATAGTTAAGGGTGATCAAGGTTATAAAATTTTGTTTTCATGTTTAGATTAAAATTTATTTAATAATAGAAAAAAATAAATTATTTAAATGGAAGAACCAACTAAAACAGATATTGATGCAATTTTTAAACGATTGAAAACTCTGCCTGCTAATAAGGTTTGTCAATAATATTTTGATGATGATGATTATATCTATACAATTAATAGACATGTTTCGATTGTAATACTAAAAATCCGACATGGGCATCAGTGACATATGGTGTATTTTTATGTATTGATTGTTCAGCAAGACATCGCGGTCTTGGTGTTCATTTATCATTTGTTCGTTCAACGAATCTTGATACAAGCTGGGGATGGCTTCAACTTCGGTATGTTAAATATAAATAATTTTATTATTAAGATCTTTTTTTTGTTATTGTTACATTTAGAGCTATGCAAGTTGGTGGAAATGCTAATGCTGTAAATATTTTATCTTTCCATAATAGTATATTATATTGTATTTTTTTCTAGGAAACATTTTTTGAACAACATGGCTGTCAAACAAAAGATACACAACAAAAATATACTAGTCGAGCTGCACAACTCTATCGTGAAAAACTTCATCAACTTGCAACTAAAGCAATGAAACAATATGGAACTAAAGTAATTTAATATATATATATAAATAATTTCTTTCTATGATATTCTTCTTTAGCTTATTCTTGATGACGGAACTAAAACTGAACGTACAAATTCTCAAAGTGAAAAGAAAGAAGATGATTTTTTTCATGCACATACTCAAGTATCAAACTTAGCTAGTTGGGATGATAATACAGTTGCTTCTTTACATTCCAGCAATCAAAGTCTTGATAAAAGTAAATTATCTATTTATTTTGAAATATTTATTTCTATTAGTTATTTTCGTATTAAGGTGATCAACAAACAGAAGGACCTTCTGTTGATCCAAATGTATTTAATAGTGAGGGAGGAACAAAAACACTCGATCCAAAAAAATCAACGATCGGTCAACGTCGTGCACCTGCAGCTAAAAAGGTTTAATTTATATGATGAATAGTTTAATTTTAATAAGATTATAATTTTTAGAAAGGTTTTGGTGCACAAAAAGTGTCAACTGATTTTAAAGAACTTGAACGTAATGTTCAAGAACAAGAAAAATATCGTGAACAACAAGCTCATTTAGAACTTAAAAATCGTGAAGAAACTGAAAAACAAATGGAAAAACAAATGTAATTTTATAGACAAAAAAAGAGACAAATTCTTTATTATTCGAATATTTTAGGGCGCATATGAAATTTGCTTATCAAGATATGAATAAACAACGCGATATAGAAGAAGCAAAATTAAAAGTATCAAATCCAAAAAAAGCTGAACAAATGGAACGTCTTGGTATGGGTTTTGGTAATCGAACGTAGATATTTACTTTTTTTTTGATATTTAACAAATAATTTAATTATTCTATTATAATTTATTTAGTGGTGTAAGTCATAGTGCTATGACAGATATGCAAACAATTCAACAAGAAGGTGTACCAACAACAAGAAATATTTCACTTGCACCACGAAATCGAGATTTCTTTGATGAATTTGAACCTGCGGGTTTTAGTAGTCGTTCAAAGTATGTATTTAGAAATATATATATCAATAGTTTATATAAAATAATATCCTATTTAGTTATGATATGCCACCCTCGAGAGATAATGATCGTTATAATGACGATTCTAAAACGTATTCTATTTATTAATATTAGCTCTGCATATGCTTCTTTTTAACATTTTAAATCTTAGAATTTGAGAACGAAAGATTTTGCTACAAATAGAAACTATGGATTAGGATTTATGCATGCCATTTAAACTAAAACATATTGTCTAACATTACAAAGAGTTTTTCCAAGTTGAGAAATTTCTTTAAAATCATTTCAATTGTTAAATAATTGATAATGTATAATATTTCTTTGTATATAGACCGGATGATGATTTATTTAAACCAAAATCGTCTTCAAAAGGTATGGATTCATTCAGCGCTGATTGGGAAGTTGCTGATCGAAAAGCATCACCAACAGATTTTCGTTCAAGTGGAACAAATAGTTCATCCTATTCTAATTACGGTAATTCAAATATGAATAGCGGTGATTATAGGTAACTAAAAAAAATATCTAATAAATTTCTGTAAGTTAAATTATTTCTATTAGTTCAAAATCCACAAATCAATCATCTACATCATATAGTAAAGCAAATGATGGTGATGCACAAAAACGTTTTTCCAATGCTAAAGCTATTTCAAGTGATCAGTTTTTTAACAAAGAATCGGACGTACGTATGTAAACGTCGTATATGTATTAAAAAAACTTCGTATCAATTCTTCTTGTGTCTTTTCGCTGCATGTAAATCAATCTAAACAACAAATGGAAAATAAATATATTTTTTACCTTTTACTCACTAACCTTTACTTTATAATAATGTGCACGTACTAATATAAAAGCTAAATTTCTATACAAATGCTCGAAGCTGTAACTTTTAAAATTAAAATATTATCATATAAAAATATATCGAAATAATAAAATACAATTTTTTTTTATTTTTGGCTTTCAAGAAATTTGTATAATGATTTAAAGAAAAAAAACTAATGCAGAATTTTTCTTTTTGTAGAATGATCGAAACAATGGAATGTCCCGTTTTCAAGGAAATACAAGTATTTCTAGTGATGATTATTTTGGTGATCCAAATAAAAAACAACAAGATCGTTCAAGTTATCCAAGTGTAGATTTAGCATCAATGAAAACTGATTTTAAAGATGGTGTATCAAAAGCAGCTAATAAATTATCTTCATTAGCTAGTAGTGTTATGTCGAGCATTCAGGTATGAAAAACAGAAAACAAAGTTTCTTTCATTAATATATATTTCCTATAGAAAAAATAAGGTTTTACTTATAATCAAATAGGTAAGAAATATTTCTTGGTTAAGGATTTAGACTATTCATTAATTGACAAATTTGAAAGAATAATATTTTTAATTTTATCTTTTTTGTCTTCTAGCACAAGCGTTAAAACTATCGATCAATAACTCATTCACACAGTTGTTATTAGTTTTTTTTTCAAATTACCTAAATTTGTTTTCTTTTTTTAAATTTTTACAACAATTCTCATTACACTATTCTCGATTTTTTTGCTCTCATTACTTGTTACGCAAGCTTGTGTTTTTTTTTCTTTTAATTTATTTCCAAAATACACTTGCATTTTCTATATAAATAATATATATAGAAAGAAAAGGCAGATAATGGTTTAATTACTAATTGCGTAGAAAATGATACTATTTGTTCTCATAGGACTAAAATAATTAATCTAAAAACGAAATTAAGTCCTTGGAGGTCATAGACAGTCAAGGTGATGAGCAAAAAAAGTTCGAGTGGGTGTGTCAATGTATATTTTTATCATTATTCGAACTATTATTTATGCTTAGTCAACTATCCTTTTTGTATTTCTGTTTGTATGATGATGAAAATGATCGTGTCCTCATGGCGCATGGAAGAAGGACTAATGTTTTTCCTCAATTATCGACGAAAAAGAAGAAAAAAAAGAGGAAGAAAATATCGGAGAGTAATGCAAGATCTAATAACAACGAATAAAAAAAGGAAAAAAGAGAACGTTACTTCCCAACAGCGATTTTTGTCTTTTCTTTACGACAGCGAAGAACAACGCAACTCTCTCTTTCTCTCGACCTCATCATTCGTCATAATAACAAAAATATTTTGCAAGTAGGAGGCTATACAGAGGACGAAAGAAATATAACTATAGACTCTATAAAAATAGAATATCATATACCATAATTTATATATTTCAACAGCTATTATTAAATATCTGATCAATTAAAAATACATGAAGTATACAATTGCAAGACAATTTTCCATAAAAAAGGAAAAATTTGAAATTATTAGTGATTCGAAATCAATATGTACTGTAAGAGCTACACATTCAAAGGAATATAAGGGTCAATTCAAGTACTTATAATATTTATTGTTATTTTACATAGAATAATATTATTTTTCTCTAGAATTAAATTATCAAATCCAACTTCGAAACGTTTTATAAATGAATCTTGTAGTATTGAATCTGATCCTAATACACCTCGAAATTATTTAATCTATATAAAAAATAATGAGACAAATCCAAAAACACTTTTTGGTCAATTATCCTATGAACTTTGTAGTTATAATAATTATCTTTATACAATTATTATTGGAAAAAAATTATATAAAGTTCGAAGTTGTGATTTAAAAAATCGTCGTTTAGCTATTATTGATACAGTTGAACAAGTTAATAATTCACAATCAGATCAATATACAGCATTACAATGTCCTGAAACATTATTTCAAGTTATTGATTCATTTTCAAAAACAAATCAAACTTATCATGTTACTATTAGTGATAAAGAAAAACAATTTGGATATCTAGCTATTGTTATTTTACTTGATCTTCATGAATGTCAACGAAGTTAATTTTACATAGAATTTTAGATATTGTATTTATATGTGTGTACTTGAGAGCAAATTATTTTCTTTTTCAATATATTAAATCTTATAAAGAACAAAATTTATGTTTTGTCAGGCACGATTTGTTATTTAAATATGAAGTACGAACTATAGGATTGTTTTATAATTGAATAGATAATGTTATAAATGTAAATGTCAAATTAATGATACAATATTGCATATTAAAAATTCTTTATAGAGAAATAAGAAACATGACGTAGAAGCTATACACATAAGCTAAAAGTGTAGAAGTAACATAAGATGATAAGTAGTATATAGATACTATATATAAAGATGGAGATATGCTATATGAGATAATTTTTGTTAGTACTACGATAGATACAAATCATTAATGTATAATTTATTTATTGAATTAGGAAATAGTTACAGTCTTTTTTTCTTCTTACTCATCAGGAAAGTATTAGATTAACCAATGAATGTTACATATGTTGGATCATTGATTCCTTATGGATTGTTTATGTAACATTGTACTAAAAGCATATTATACTAAATCATTTTGCTTATCTGTTATATGTATATGATATATTTGTACGCTCATAAATCATTAATAATGTCATTTAGTAATTAAAGAAGTATTAAAAATGAATCGTAAGAAAATCAATTCTAATATGTCTTGATAGATATTTATACAAGAGATTGATAATCGGCTTTCATACAATTGACATATGATGAAAATGTCGAAAGAAAATGAGTATAGTTAAATTGTAATTATAAGATGTAAGGTAAATATTGCAATAAGCTAAAGTAATTTGAAGATATACACGAACTACAATATCACATGCAAATAGAACTAATATTATTGTAGATCAATATTGATCATTGCATCAGCGATTAATATTGATTTGATCAAATATTTTTGTAATGATCAAACATGAACAGCATGTTTTTTTAAACTTATAATTCAATCATATAAAGTATATTTATAGTATTATGAATTTTATGTTATCCTATATTGTTAATTCATTGTCTAAAATATGCTCTTCAATTTAATAAGATTTAGTGATCGGATTAAAATTAATGATATCACATATTCTGATGAGTTATAGAGAGGATTTTTACAAAACTATCACTCTAGTTTTCATTGGCTACGACGCGTTTTGTAAAAATAAAAGATGTCTATTTCAGATCTACGTTGAAAGCTATTTCTGACAGCATGTTTACAATTCTTTTTTTAATCATGCGCTGCCTTTGAGTGACGAACACGTCTCTAAATAATACCAAAATACAGTCTGGAAAATGACTGCAGTAAAAGGAACTGATATTTCAGTATTCTGTTTTTTTTATCATATTCGCCGTTTAGTTCTCCATGAATCCAATAGAAAATACTATGGATATTACTTAAAACTCGGCTCCGTCTGCCACGCTCATTGTATTTTGCAGTTTTAATACATTTAAATATCATCTGAGGACGTGGTGGTATCCAAGGCAAGACATCGTTCTGCATATACAGTTAGATAGTGCTTTCAAAACGTAGTCTAGTATGATCGATGACGAATGAAGCAATATTTTGCAAAAATGTTTGCATCACCCATTATTCTTATTTTCTTTTATTTAAAATTATTTGACGGTTTTTAATATAATTATTTGTTCCACTTTGCTTTTTAATAACATAAATTTTTTTTATTATTATCACAATTTTTTTTTCTCTTTCATAAAACTTCACGTATACATCGTTACGGTATTTTTTTTCTGTAACTATCATCATTCTTTTATAAAACAAGATTGTTGATAATTATTACAGAAAATGATGTGTTGCTCAGCAATGTCCTTCGTCTTCCGTTCGCTATGTTTGAGTGTTTCATCAAGTAGTCTTTTTTTTTTAATCAGGTGAATACATCAGTATATGTTGTTAGCACTTGTCCTGGTTACTTCTTAGTTTTTTTCTACATAGTAACGTATGTTTTTCTTCTTTTTCCTTTTTCTATTTGATCTTCACCATCTAATGACTTTTCTTTCCTTCTTTTTTACAGTATGCTTTTCTCAATTTTTGAAAATAATAAATACTACCGATTTTTCCCTACGCATTTAAGCTATTAAATTTTTTCATACTTCTTTATTAAAATCAAAACTTCTTGTATTTTATCGCCGATAGTTGTAGAATTCTTTTTTCAATGTTAACTTTAGTGAGAATCATTAAAATAAGACTCACAGGATTTGCACTATGATTGTATGAAATTTAAATATGATCTGTCATGTAAGTATTATTTTTCTTCTGTTATAAATAACTTAGATTGCTAGACATAGATAAACTTAAATTGGATTTAGAAAACTAAATGATAAATAAACTAGTTGACTTTATAAAATAAATTTCAAAAATAAGACTTCATTGAAATTAATGTAAGAATGAATTTTCTTAGAAAATATTTCTAATGACTTCGATCCATTGATAGAATATAATTAAATCATCGCGACGCTATTGAAACATTTAGTAGAATGATTCAGATTTCATAGGTATATTCATTAAAACATATAAAATCGTTTGTGCACAGCATGTATTAACATAACTATTTTGATTCGGTTGAACAGAAACACTAATACATCTTATAGAGCGTTTTGTATCTGACGCATATGGTGTGCATTCTTTTCAATATGTTATATTAAACTCAGATTGAAATCTACTCGTAAGTTTTGAATTTTAACTCATGTTTCATCTTACTGTGTATTTAATGAATATCAAAAATCTGAGGTTATTATGTCATTTAATACTTTGTTAGAAAAATAGATGTTTTATATGCATTATTCATTATCAAAAAAATTATATTTCCTATATGCTTCTCAGTTATTTTAAGTCATAGTTTAGATAAAATATCTTTCTATGTTAAAATTATCATTTTAATCTTCTACGCTATCGATCAAGTACTTCGTTTTTAATTCATTTTTCTTTATTTACTTCAAATACTTTAAATAATTACTAAGAAGTACTCATTTTTAATATTAACATAACAAAAAATGTTGAAGTATGAAAGAAGATCTGACAAACTCTCTTTCTACATTTTATTTGATGGATTGAAAGAAAAAGAAGAATGTTAACGGTGTCATGTCATTTTTTTCTTCTTCAGTCATATTTTTCTATTCTCTCTATGCTCGTCAAATTTGAGCCACTTTTCAGTTGCTAGGCAATAGGATATTATTAGTTTTATTATTACATTACTATACTATCCTATAACATTTCTTTTATCTAAATAGAAAACGTAGATGTTATTATTTTCCTATGAATGGTGTAAAAATGTTCATATATTTGACTTTCAATAAATTTTCTAGTATAATTTATTAACATACAAAATGCAGCAAACAGCAAATTGTAATCTCATGACACAGGACAATGGTTTTTTCGATATTACTCATACGTTTAAAGTTGGTTCATCAATGTATCATGTTCTTGGTTTGCGTAAAGATCGTCCAACATATAAAAATACTTATTATATTTTTAATTGTACAAATGATCAACATGAATCAACAAATGATTTTTCAGCAAAATCTCTATTATTTAAACGTCGTACAAGACCATCGGAACAAATATCACCGCCTAAACAACGTCCACTCACAGCACATCATAAAAAAACAATATCAATTGATGATTCAACTACTAATAATAAAAATAAAATACAGAAGACAAAAAGTACGTCTTCACATCCTCGCGCACGTTCTGCATCACCTAAAAAATTAGAAACAGATGCAACAGCTATGAAAGAGATATTTACTACAGCAATAAGAACTGAACGACAACTGATGGTTGCACAGTTACGAAAAGAAATGAATATTAAAAAGAAAGCATTACTTCGATCAATTAAACAAGAGAGAAAAGTTCTTTTACAAGCAACAACAGAAGCTAATAAAAAAGATGAACTAATTCATTTACTTGAAGAACAAAATAATACATTAACAAATGCATATGAACAATTTGCTACTACTACTACTTCTTCAATTGATACTTTAAAACAAACAATAACAGACATGTTAAATACGCAATATACGACATCACAATCAGCAGAAAAAATTCAATTTGCTTTAATTCAAACGATAGAAAAAGAAGTACAAAAAATCGTATCAAAAAATGAAGAAATTCTCAAGTCAACATCAAATGAAATCAATGCGATCAACAAATTACAAGATACTCTTATTCAAAAAATCGAGAATTATTCTACTGAAAAAGAATCTATTAATGATACAACATTAAATCGTTTATTTGATGAACAAAAACAAGCATTGAACGATGTCGTTATCCAACAACAACAGACTCATTCATTTGATATTATTAAACAAGCAATGATCGATGCATTTCAGCATCAACAAATAACGTCAGTTAATAATACAGAACATCTTCAACAACAAACAAATAATAATATCACTCATCTATCATCTCAAGATATACAAATAAATAATAAAGCGATCAGTAACAATACAAATGATAGTTTATTTAAAGTGGAAACAAATCAAATTGTTACTCAATCTTTATCGAAATTAGATTTAAAAAGAGCAGCAGATCAACATTTATTTAAAGTTTCTATACGAACACCAGAATCAGTTCATTTATATGCTAAATTAGTTATTGATGGTATGGAATATTCGAGACGGCTACATACATTATGTCAACGTGATGTACTTCAACATGATCTATTTAATTGTTACATAGCTCCTCCTATAAAAGATGGTCCTTATGAAGTGACTATCTATGCAAAAACACATAAAGATACAATGTATCGAGCAGCTATATGTATACGATTACCTGGATCAAATATTGCTCAATCAAATACATTGCCAATGATACATCAATCATTTGAAGATCATCAATGTATTTTAATGGAACCACTTCGTCGTTTTTTACGACAAAATGAATATATATTAATACGTATGATTGTACCGAATGCACTTGCGGTAAAAATTCGAAATGGTGATGATCTTATCGAACTTGATGTAAATGAATATAAAAAAGGTGTAGTTAAGAAGAAAATACGAGTACGTGGTGATGTATGTATTATTGGTTGTTGGGATAAAAAAACCGATTCAACTCTATGTGTTTTTAATATGGTTTAAAATTGTGAAATGATCATTATTAATCAAAAATATCGTCTGTCATATTGTATGTTTATTTAATAAAAATTAATAAAAAAAAATATTCAATAAATACGGTTTGTTTTTCATAAATCTTTCATATATTAAGTGTGCATCCGATTAGTTCAAAATTAATGAAATATTTTTATTATTCGCGATTAAAAGAAAAGATTGAAATTCTATCTTTTATATACTACAGAAAAACAAAAGTCATCGTAGAATAATATTGTTTTTTTTTCAGGCTTCACTTTCACATGAAAGTGTTGCTTTAAGTGGCATTTTTTTATTGTTAATAGGTGGTAGAATAGTTGAAAATTTAACTGTTGATTGTGATGATACGATTTTATTTGAATCTATATGATTGTTTAATAATTGACGTTGAGATTTTGAAACTAATTGTTCATTATTATTCGATAAAAGTGGTTGCAATCTAGATGGACGTCGTCCGAGAGATAAAACTTTTGTTCTATTTTGTTCTGTACTTATTCGATTATTAACAGATGATGAACGTTTTGATGAACGTGAATCCGATGATAAATATTGTTGTTGTTGTCGTTGTTCATCAAGATTTTTAAATCTTCTTGGTTTGTTAGGTAAAATAATATGTCCAAGACAAATATGATTACATACATTTGGTTGTTGTTGTTTTTCATGAAATAATTGTTTCGTTAAATGTGTAATTGATGTTGAACGCTGTTTTATTTCATATTTAAGATTTTGTTGTTTATGTAATTCTAATGCATATTTTTGTTCACTTGATTTAAGACGATTTTTATAATCATTAACATTTTTTTCTTTTTCTTCTAAAATTTTATTTAGATTTTCAATTTTATTTCTACTTTGATATAAATCATTTTTAAGTTGTTTAATTATTTCTTGAAGTTTATCTAAATTTTATTTTGAAGAAATTAATATTTTATATGTCATAAACTACTTACTATTATCAGCAGGATTATTAAATGTTAATTGAGTTGTAAGATCTGAAAATGAAGCGATTATTAATAAAGAAATTGTAACTGTATACTAACCACTATATTTCTGTTGCCATTTCGCGAGTTCTTTATGAAGATCAGCTAATGTTGATGCATGTTCATGTTGAAGAAATTTAATAGATTTTTCTGCGCATTGAAGTCGTTGGATTAAATTCGTTGAAAGATATTCTGTATCAGACATCTATAACAAACTAATATACGAATAGAATCGGTATAATTCGTCTTTTATTATTGTACTTCAAACTATTCATTCTTTATAAATTATAGACTAGAAAGCATATTGTACAAAAAAATAATGATAAAAAAATAGAATCTAAAAAAATGAATGCAATGTTTACAAGAGCATTTTGATGCTTAATGGTACATATTAAATAAGAAATGTGCATTGGTGCACGTAGTATAGAAAAAAAGCAACAGATTGCATCGTCATACAGTCACCTTGTTACGAAAAAGTTAAATGTGATAGAACTAAAGTCTTTCTTCTCTTTGCAATAGATCAAACAAAAAGAAGTTTTTTTTTGTATGTGACATATGACCACAAAAAAACGATTTATATTTAGAATTTACTAATGTATTGAAACTCTAGGTTTTTTTTTCATAAGTACAAAACTTTTTGTCACATAAAAGAATCTTCGAACCTTGAATGATTTTATAAAACAAATACAATGAAATCTTTTGTTGATTAGGATAAAGAATGTCATTTTATTTTTAGAATTTCCTTTATTCATAAATATATTAAACTTAGAGAACCATTTGATAGAAGTTAATTTATAATTATTTTTGTCATCAATAACAAATCTGTTTAATTCGTATGCTAATTAGTAAAGAAGAAAAAACATGTATTTTTATTGCTTTGATAATGTTTTCTTTACAAATGTTTTCATTCAAAAGATGTTATGATTATTTGATACGATAAGATTGATTAAGTATGAGAGAGGACATACTTGAAATCATCTTTAATATAGATCGTTTTACAAGTCATTTATTAGAATAGTGACTAAATTAACCACGTATAAATAGAACTTATTCTATGAAGGAAATAATAATTCATACGCATAGCAATAAAAAAAGGCTTTTTTATATTGTTTTTTTTTTGTTAATAAAAATTCAAGTATTGCTCTTATGACCTTGTTCTTCTTTTTGAAAAGAAAAAAAATATCTTATTGTTTATTTATGTACCAATTCTAATTAATAATTTTAATTGATTATATTTTCCTTGTATTTACTTTGTGTTGCTTAGCAACAACGGAAATAAAATAAAGTGCATTACTGCTGAGAGTCACTAGAGAATGAATACATAAATGACGTGTTTACGGAAGTTAAAGAATTAATCAAGTAATTTGACTTATATCAAAACTAATATAATAAACAATTTCATTCTTTTAAATTGAATATTAAGTCAAGTTGCTTAGTGACATCATAAGTAACATTGAATTGAATGGTGTCAGTTTCACTTCTACTATCAACAAGTAATTTGTAATACAAAATCAAAAGAAAAGAAAGAAAGAAAGAAGTAATGTCATCAACAACAACCGCCGCAGGTAAAATACTGATTCTCTTATGTTTTTCTTTTGTTATAATATGTTTTATCAGACAATGTATCAAGTAATAAAACTCGTCAAAAAGTATTATTATCATCACGTGATTGGGATACATTAGTTACTGAGTATGATAACATGTAGTTTATTTTTTTTTATCTATACTATTTATTTAATTTAGTCAAAATAAACTACGTAAAGAGAATACAACTTTATCTAAAGGTGGTGTTTCTGAACGACGAGTAACTACTCGTGCAGGTACACGTATTGATCGTAGTCGACATGGAACACATCCAAATTATGAAACAGAAGGATCAAGTGAAGATGATGATGATGAACAAGAAGATCCATTATTAACACGACAAGATCAAACGGATTTACCATCAGAATATTGGCAAATACAACGATTAGTTAAATATTTAAAAGGTGGAAATCCAACTGCAACTGTTATTGCATTATCTTCTATTCGAGATTTTAATTTATCAATGGATATATGTCAATTAGCTATACGTGATGCGAGTGGTTTGGAACTTTTAGTTAATCTTCTTGAAACAGATAATATTGATTGTAAGGTAAATATTCATATATATTAAAATTTTCCAAAAAGATTATTAAATTAAACGAAAAACTAATTCATATTTAGATCGGTTCATTATATATTCTTAAAGAAATTTCAAATAATCCAACTATACGTCGAAATATAGCTGATCTTGGCGGATTACAAACAATGATCACATTACTTGATGAACCAGAAAAAGATTTAAAATGTCTTGCTGCTGAAACAATTGGTAAAATCGTTTTTTTTATTAAATTAAATTAATATTTAATATTATTTTTTTTCCAGCACATGTTGCGAAATTTAAACGAGCACGTAAAGTTGTTCGACAAAATGGTGGAATTAAACGATTAGTAAACATTTAATCTTATAAAATAAAAAATAATCATTAGTATTATTATTGTTTAGGTTGCTCTTTTGGAACATGCTGCTGTTAATGGTCATGGATCAAGTAATCGTATTTCACATAATGATAATATAAAAAATATTGAAGTTGCTCGTGCTGGTGCATTAGCTCTTTGGAGTTTAAGTCGATCGAATCATAATAAACATGCTATGGAACGTGCTGGTATTATTCCACTTCTAGCTAAATTACTTAAAAGTTCAAATGAAAATATGTTAATTCCTATCGGTGGTATTATTGAAGAATGTGCTACGGATGTATGCATTTCTTTTTTGGTTTTGTTCATAAGAAATATAATTTATTTATTTTGTATATAGCATGTCTATCGAGTAGCAATACGAGAAATGGTTCCTGATCTTGTCAAAAATCTTTTAAGTTCGAATGCTGAATTACAAAAACATTGTGCTAGTGCTATTTTTAAGGTTAAATAACAATTAGCTAATTTTTCTTATTAGGAAAAAATAAATTTGCATTATTGTCTGTTTTTTAGTGTGCAGAAGATGAACAAATACGTGATTTGGTAAGAAAACATATGGGACTTCGTCCTTTACATGATCTTTTACAACAACTGGATAATAAAGCTTTATTAGCAGCAGTCATCGGTGCGATTTGGAAATGTGCTATATCTCCTAAAGTAAATTGTTTATTTTCTTCACTTATTTTTCAAATTTTGTTTTTTTAATATTAGAATATTGCAGAATTTCAAAAATTTCGAACACTTGATGTACTTGTACAATTACTTAATAATCAACCTGAAGAAGTTTTAGTTAATGTTGTTGGCGCAATAGCTGAATGTGCTAAAGAAGCAGAAAATCGAACATTAATTCGTAAAGCTAATGGAATATCATCATTAGTTAATTTATTAACAGGAACAAATCAAGGTTTATTAGTAAATACTTGTCATGCATTACGACAAATTAGCGAAGAACCTGAAAGCATTGCGTAATAAATTATCTATTTTGTTTTTATTGATTAACTAATTTTTTGTTTGTAAAACTTATATTTAGAATGATTGATCGTTTAGATGGTGTTCGATTATTGTGGTCACTTCTTAAAAATCAAAATCCACGTGTGCAAGCTGCAGCATCGTGGGCTATATCACCATGTGTAAAAAATATCAAAGTTTGTTCAATTAAATCATAATCGTTCTAATATATCTATGTATATATGTATTATAGGATTCAGGTGAAATGGTACGAAGTTTTGTAGGTGGTCTTGAATTAATTGTATCCCTATTAAAATCTAAAGATGTTGAAGTGTTAGCAAGTGTTTGTGCTGCTATAGCTGAAATAGCAAGAGATGAAGAAAATTTAGCTGTTATAACTGATCATGGTGTTGTTAAACTTCTTTCAAATTTAGTTACACGAGTAAAAAAATCTGTTTTTTGTTTTTAAATTTATATCTTCTCAAATTATTTAAATAGACTGAAGATATAGTTCGTCGTTATTTAGCTGAAGCTATAGCTGAATGTTGTAAATGGGGAAATAATCGACAAGCATTTGGTGATAATCAAGCTGTAGCACCACTTGTTAAATATCTTAAATCAACTGATCCTAATGTTCATCAATCAACAGCCAAAGCATTACATCAATTATCGAAAAATCCAATGAATTGTGTTACAATGCATGAAGCTGGTGTTGTTCGAGTATATTAATACTTCTTCGAAAATAAAATATATATATATTTTATTTTGTATTTAGTTATTAATAGAAATGGTTGGTTCAAGAGATGAAATTCTCCAAGAAAATGCAGCTATTTGTATTTCATATATTCGACGATTAGCATTGGCAAATGAAAAATCAAGAAATGGTTGATACTTTTTTTGAATCTATATGATAAAACTATCCTTTCATGATTAATTTCATAAAATAAAACTTTTATAAATAACAAAAGTTTTCTTTTCTTATTCTTCGGATGATACAGTGTCAATGAGTCTTATCTATATGATTCTATGAATATTACATCAAATATTAAGTATACAAATATCAAAGATACGATTTTTTAATATGATAATTTGTCGCCATAACGCTTTCTTAAATATATCATGTCTGTAAAATTAATATCGGAAAACAACTACTTATAAATGTCTCTTCAAGATTCTCATAAGAAAGGTAATGAATAATTCTTAAAAAAAACAAGTATTTAAATGTACGAAAGCCTTTCGTAATGAAGGTCGTACTACGATAAATAATATACAAATCTTCTAGACAAGGCTATGACCTTCATTATTATAATAACAAATTGGCAGATTTTTATATTTCCTCATTATTTAATGAGAATATACATTGTTACTAAATTATTTTAATTTTCATTCGTTTTTTATCGATTATATAAACATAGATAGATATTAGATTTCTCCTATGTATATATACATATCTTTCGATTAAAATATAAATTTACATTTAAATAATAATGAGATATATTGCATTGAAAAGGAATAAAATATTTTTATTTACACATACAACTAATCATTCTTATATTCTACTTTACTTCACTGACGTAGAACACTAGACAAATATTACAGCATATATATATACATAAAAAAAGAAATTAAAAGAAAAAGAGAAGAAAAAAATGTCAACGAACTGACAACCATAACAACAATAACAACAACAGAATTTCTCTTATTTCTTTTTTTCATTCTCGAATAAAAGTGAAGTAGCAATAGACCACAATTAATCCGTTGAGTTTTTGTAAAAACGAAGAAATTCGTCAACAGAAAAGAAGCCAAAAGAGTGGGAAGCAATAGAACATTCTCGTTGCATGCGCGTAGTTTATTGATTGATTTTAAAAATTTATTCCTCTCTCTTCTCTTCTTTTGAGATCATATGTAAAAAAGAAAAAGTGAGTAAAAAAATCTTTTTCATTAATCGATTGTTGTCACGGGCGTCAAGGTGCTCACTGACTGTTGTCGTCATGTGTTGGCAACAAACGAAATATAAGTGAAGTAAAAGATCAGAAGAGTCTATATTAATAGGGCATATGTGAGACAGAGAGTATATATATATATATGAAAACAGTTTCATTCGTATGGATTTTTAATCATCAATTTTTTTTATTGATAGATTATATTATAAATCGAATTCTCTTTTAGATACAGTCAGAAAGATGGTGTACACCGAGACAAAACCACGCGGCCCAATTTCCGCAATGAATTCAACACCCGGTCCAGTTTATCTACTACCGGGTCTTGTAGGAAGTGGTTTTCATGATCCACGATCTGTTCATACTAAACAACCAGCATACTCATTTGGCCTTAGACATGGTAAATATAAAGATGACTCTTCACCTGGCCCATGTTACTATCCAAATTCAAAAATCTTACGAAATGGTAAAGATGGTACTCCACATTATTCTCTCTATGCTCGACGTGGTGATCTTAAAGGAGATCGTAATCCTGGTAAGAATAAAACTAGACAAAAAGAAGAATATTAATATGACTCAAGTTTCATACGATCTCGATTAGGACCTGGTACATATAGACCCGAAGATAAAGCACCAATGAAAACTGTCTTTCAATCACCACCAGCCTACACATTTGGCACTCGTCACAAGGCATATGGACTCGATCATACACCTGGTATGATTCTGTTTTTTATTCGTTTTGTACTAAATCTCGATATGTACTTTTGTTTCTTCATTTAGCCCCAAATGCTTATGGTTTACCAGGTATGCTTGGTAAAACAGTTCAAAGTGTGAAAAAACAAGCACCTATCTATTCAATGACTGGAAGAAGCAAAATAGGTGGTTTCGATGAAGATTTACAACGAACACCAGGACCTGGTAATAATTTGTTCGCTTTTTTTCTGTTAAAAATGAAATATTTCTATATTTATTAGGTACTTATACTGTGACAAAACCGGGCATATATAAATCAGAACCACCACATTACAGTATGATTGCTAGAAATGAAATGCCCGGTGATTCAACTCAAAAACCAGGACCTGGTAAATATTCACCAGAAAAAGTTTGGCTTCATAAACAACAAGCACCTGGTTATTCATTTGGTATTCGTCACTCAATGTATGAAGCACCACTTATTGTTGAAGTTAAAGACTAAAACTGTCCATAATATGAATTTTATCTATTATTTGTACGCTCATATTTTCTTCCTGGACTAGAAAAAAAATTCATTTTCAATCTTTATTTGTTGCTTGTACAATCGCATTTTTTTTTTCTTAATTTTATTTTATATAATGACTGATGATGATCTGAATGTTTGCAAAGCGTATAAACACATACAATTCGTTACGAAAAACTTTTTTTTTCGTATTTTTTTAACAGAAAGAAATGTAAACAAAAACCCCACAGATATGGTAGCAGAGGAAACAAAAATATTTCTTATTAAATTATTTTTATATAAGTATAATGAGATTTTTAAGCACGAGAAAAGAAATACGAGTAGATTGGACGAACCTTGAAAAAGATTTAGTTAGGGAAATCAACGATTTCACAATTAATGTTATATTTATATTTCATTAAGATAATGATGTTTCTTTTTCACATATAAAACAACAAATTGTATTTTTTGTACATTTCTTAAATTTATTCAAAACGAATCTATGGTGAATATCAAAATTCTGTAAATATTTTCTTATTAAACATGAAATAACATATTAAAAATTCAAGAGATTCGATATGAATACATATTTACATTCAACAACGATTTTTTTCCTCATAAAAGTCATTTTATTGAGAACATTTTTCAAGAGAATAAAACACATAGATATTTTATTGATGATACAAACGAATAGTTAATAAAATAATTTATTCTTCAATTTTAATTATTTACATGACAAGTTAGTTGTCTTACATGAAGTATGAATATTCGAATCAAATGCTCCTATTTGCAAAGTAAAAATATCGATCCAAATTGTATTGAATGAACAGAGTATTTATAAAATTGATAATAATCTTTTTTACTTAATTTTAACTAAACCATGAGGAAAAAAATATTTAATTTTTTTTATCAAAAACAAAACAAACAGCAGCGGTGCGCGCAACATGCCCAAGATATATGAGAAGAAAAAACAAGGTTAACAAGAAAAGCATATAAAAGAAAACACATGATGCAATTTAATATAAATATATTTTTAAACACTTCTCATCCGTCCATTATATGACGATGAAGATATTTTATCACTTGAATACATTCGTGATAATGATGGGGAATCATCAATAACAACTGATGTTAATAATTGATAACGTTGATTAAAATTACTACTTGATGATGATGAATGAAGACCAACACGACGATAAAATAATAAACGAATTTTAGCTCGAAGTATCTGCCGATAAAATATCAATATACACATAACTAACATTGCGCATATTAATATAATAATCGCTGAAGAATCTCTATGAGATTGTTTATAATGTAAAGTACTTTTCACTTGATTAATTGCTCTAAACAAAATCAAACAATCAATTTTTAACGTACAAAATAAAGTTTTTAAAAACAAACCTTAAAGGAAGAAAACGAGTTTTATAAAGAATGGCACCTAATGTCCATTGAACATCATTATTATTAACAAGTGATGCTGAACGTAAACGTTGATAATTAACAGGAAATTTTAAACCATCATGAAGAAATGCATAAAGCCAAGCAGATTTAAAACATTGTAATCTTAAATAGAAAAATTCAATAAATATATTTTTTCTGTTTAGTAATAAAATAAAAATTTCTTACAATAAACGATTTAGATCAGCTTTTGGAAATTGTTTATTATTATACCATTGTCGAATATCTGTCCAATTTGAATTACAATAATTCTAACAAAAGTAAAATATTCATTCATTATCTTTGCTTTTTCTTAACTTACTGTTGATGCATTCAAAAAAGTTTGTCGACCATACGGACCACCAATTTTCAAAATATCTTAAAAAAATAAAATAAAATAAATATATATCGAAATCAAATTCTTTTTCATACCTTCCATTGTATACCAAAATTCTGAAAAACCATAAAAATCTTGTGCATCATAATTTATTGTTGGTTGATAAACACCATTAACTGAACATGGTTGACGTTTACATGTTACATTTACATTAAGTAATGTAACTAAATGTTTTGCACAATTACTAAAATCTCCTTCACCTATAATTGTTATTGTTTTATTCTTTCGTGTATAATTAGCCGAATAACCACGTGGTAAACAATCAGCATCATTCATGACAATATGAGATGAATTTGATGTTGAATTTCTGAAATAAAAATATAATTCGTTTTTTTTTCGAATAAATTCTATCAATTAAATTTACTCAAGTGCGATAGAAATAATTCGATCAATATATTTTTCAAATGCTTTATTTGCACCATAACCAAGAAATGTTGTAACATAAATTTTATATTTAAATGTTTCTTGATGTTCATCATAACCTAAAGAAAATTCGGCTACTTCTTCACCTTCGATTGGTGTCTGAAAGGAAAGAGAATAAAAAAATAAGTTTAATTAAAGAATAATAAACTTACATCGACTGAAACTTCGACTAGGTAAAAGAAGAGAAATATAAAATTATATTTGAATGAAATCAGAAAAAATAACTTACAAGCTATTTGAGCTGATGCACCACCCATATCAAGAATTCCAACAGTTGATGGTCGTTTTTTTGATATTGATACGGAATTACCATCACTTACAGATACTGAAATATTGAATCAATTAGAAAAAAGAAACCCCAATCATTTATATTGATTATTTACTTGATTCAGCTGTTTCGTTACTTTGAAAACGTCCTAGGACATAATTAATTGCAATCCAACTGAAAATACCTTCTAATTTCCCAGATATGACTTGTATATGAGTTTTTTCAATTTGAAAATGATAATCTCGAACAATATCATTAAATAAATCTTCGAGTAATTGTTTTTGTTTACTAAAAAGAACTTATATAAAGATACAAATTTTATTGAAAATTATTCATACTTAGGAGTTAAAAATCGAAGACCAGCCGTTGCAAGAATGTATACTAAAGCAAGAAAACAAAATAAGAACATAATCGAATATACATGAAACTTACATGGAGTATCACGATGTTTATCTGGTGGAACAGTTCTTGCAGCAAAATCTAGAAAATTCAATAATTAATCATTAATTTTTCAAATTAAAAAATATTTTACCTAATAACGATGTTAAATATTCAGTTGCATTAGCTGGTGTATCTGCCATTGATGAAAGACCTAAAAAACAATGAATGTATAAATTAATTTACAGAATAAAAAAAAGAACAATTAGAAATCTAACCTGGTTCAAGTTTTTTAACAACAGGTAGACCTTGTTTATCAAGTAATTGTTTAATTTGTAATAATTCATTTTCTTTTCCTGAATGTTCTGGCCATACATAAATATAAAGTCTTGATCCACTACTTCCACAATCAATAACTATGCCATAGTGTAAATTTGGATCTTCATTTCCAACTTTCTTTGGTACATAAACACCACCTGCATCTCCACCTTGAATTATTTTTTGACTTTTAATTACAGATTTTGGATCGAATGATTCAATGGTTGCAGGATTTGCCTTAATAAAAGAATAAAATATAAATCAAGTTTTACTTTACTGGAAAAAAATGCATTCTTAAATATTAGATCAAATGAATTGAATAGTATTATACAGTTTGAATGTTAATATTTAGAAAGAATGAAAATAAAAATAATAAACATACTCGACTTAGCATCAACCAAACGAGAAAGCAACTGAATAGAAAAGCCAGCATCATAACCAAATAGCCCGAATTGCAAGAATAAAATTGCAACGACGTCATCCATCAGCGCATCTGAAAATAAATGAAGTAGATATATTAGTAAAGTCGTTCTTAGAAAAAATTTGAATAATTTATGAATATTTTTGTTCCTTTTTTATGTAAAGACTGTTTTTGTAAAAAACTTATACATGACAAAACATATTTATATTTTTCGTTTCTTTCTCTTTCTAAACTAATCAATAATTTGACAACAATAGTAACCAATCAGAATGTAATGAAAGTTTTTCTTCCATCCAGAATCTATAAAACAAGAGGTCTATATCAGACGTGCTATTAACATATACATACAGATTGATTAAATCTTTTATAATGCACATTGTGCCATCGAAGGATACTGAGAGTAGAAACTATAGCCGATATAATCAAGAAAAGAAAATTAAGATTATTCGGTTGTATCTGTGGAGTGGACGACAGTAGACTGATAAAAAAGACAGTATTCGCTAAAGTAGATGGAACACCTCGAAGAGGACGTCTATGTAGAGAATGGCTGGACGACATCAAGGACTGATGTGGGCGCAGCGGACAAGACCTGTTTCACCTAGCGTAAAACAGGTATGCACCAGTCCTTCAAGTCATTTAAATTTACTATTGATTAGACTATACAACGCTATTATTAAAATTTGAAGAATTAGACGAGAAGAAAAAAGGGCTGGGAGTGATTGGTAAAAAAACCGAAAATTTCCGATTTTTTAACAGTCACCTCCAGTCCTTTTTTCTTCCCGTCTTATTTTTCCAAGTTTAACAATAGCGTTGTATAGTCTAATCAATAGTAAATTTAAATGACTTGAAGGACTGGTGACGACTGGATGTTTTATATAGCAAGAATTATTCATCTTTGTTATCGACTTTATAGGACTGGTGCATGCCTGGCGTAAAACTGGTGGATACGGAAGAAACGAATCCACACAGTGATCGACTCCAACGAGCGATAAGCTTACGAGATATCATGAATCATGTATATACATTGTATATAATGAGGAAGTATTAAGAAATATTTTTAATTCTTAACAAAATATTCAATATACACACAAGAAAAAAAAAGTATTTGCTATAGTTTACTTAATCCTTTTACAGTTATTTATTCTTGGAATTTAATCATGAGAATCACAAATATACCATTAAAATAAAATACTATTCATCAATCATGATTGTATCTAACTATTACTTTGACATAAAAATAATCATAAATTATATGTCATAATCAACAATAAATTGTTATACTATTCTTCAATATTTCATTGTAGTTTTTATACTTTACATCTTACATAAATCTATGAATATTAGGCGTGGTCACAGATTTTTCAACCATGACTGCACAAATTAAATAAATTTACCGTAACATGTCTGTATTTGTCTAGTCAATTTGAAGTGACAGTTGATTTTCTGATGTGCCAGAACTCTTTTTAATAATGTCAATTGATGCCAAAAGGTCGATATATTACATTTATAAACTAATGTTTTCAATTTATTTCATAATTAAATCACACTAATATGTTGTGTCATAAGTTTCCTCAAGTTTTCGTTCTTCGATAATAACAAAATTTCATTTAGATTATTCATTCAATATTACGAAAATATTGATTATAACAATAGTAGTAAATTGATCTTTGCAAAAATAAATTTTAATCGAAAAATACCTTCAACTAGTCAGTCATATATTTTAATTAATAAATTACTTTTTCTATTAATTGTCTGGTGTCTATGAAATATATATATGTTTTCATTATTTGTCTACAAATCATGCATGGCAAGTTAATTAATATTTAATTACATATTCATCTTCTATTACCATCTAACCTTTAAGAGCAGTTCGTACATTTTTCTATTAAATACATATATTTCCTTAAAATGTTTATCATAATCATTCGAATGACATAAAACTCGTCTTTCTACCTCAACTATGAATATTTTATTTCCAAAAGAAAAAGATATGCATCCCTACCGAATTTTAATTATAATGCATAGAAATATAATTAAAAAGAAAACTTGCACGTTTTTCTCATTAGAAAATCTAAGTACTACAACTCTATCATGGTTTTTTCTTTCATCGTTAAATTTATTTAAATAAATATATATCAAAACATGTTCAGATTCACTGTAATCGTTGACTTGTATGTGTCTATTTACAAATTGATATATCAAACATTCATTTAAATTATATACAAAAAGAAAAAAAAAAGGACAATACCATCATCTATCACAAACAAAAGACGTGAGAAGACAAATATTTTTCTATCTTACATGAAAGACAAATAGAAAATAAAAATTAAAAAGTTATTAAAAGAAAGAAGCTAAAATAAATATTCTTTCTTTCTTAAGAAATAGAAATTGTTCAAGTTCGTTTTTTACATTCCAGACATAAAAATACAGGTAGAGCAAAGCAACCAATAATTAAAACAGTTGGAATTCCAACAGCAATAAGACCAATAAGCGCACCAAGTACAACTGGAGTAAGAAGAAGTACACTAGCAAATATTGAACCACGTACTACCCAACGTAGAAATGGGCGATTTGGCCATAATTTATATTTACAACCAAATATAGAATATTTCGCATCATGTCCAATATAAAATGGTAATCTCATTCTAGAACCACAACGATAACAAAATTTTGAACTACATTTTGCACAGACCATATGATCACATCCATCAATTTTTTCAATATATATTGAACATTTTGGACAACGTTGAGCATTACGTTGATTATTATTTTCTGTTCGACGTGTTTTAGCCCATATATCAAGATGTGTATGTCGTTTTTTAAATTGTTTACATGTTTCAGTTGGATGTGATGGTCCATAACATGACCAACACCAATCTTTAGTACATTGTTCACATTGTAACCATGTTTGAGATTTTTTTCCACGTACTATTGGATCATTTTCATCTATGATTGTTATAAAATTACAATGTGGACATAATTTTATATATGTATTTTGTTTTTCCGATAAATCTTGTGCTAAGATTTGTTGATAACGTTCTCGTGTAGATACTGGTATTTCATTATTATATAATATCATTGATGAATTAATATCTTCTGAACATGATGGACATTCAATTTTAACTTTTCCATTATTTATATTTGTTATTGTATGTGTTAAAAGACATGATGAACAAAGTTTTATTGAACAACATGACATTTGTTTTAATTCATTCGATCGATAAGTATCACAACATATTGGACAATCGAGAAATAGTTCAATCGGAGAAGATTTCTTACGAAAACTTGTTGTTATTACATTTCTTAAAATAAAAAAACTAGATTAATAAACATGAAAAGATTTATTTAACTTTATTTATAATCTCTTTGAAACTATTTTTTTCATTATTAAAAAAAGAATTAATAAATTTACTCTAAAATATTGCATATGACTTTATAAATTGTTACAACTCATTAAATATGAACTACTAACTATGATAATATATTTAGTTTACCCTTTATTCATTGATGTAGCAGGTAAATCTTCAGAAATATTGCGTTCACTAATTTGAAGTGTCTTGGATGAATCTGTCATAAAGATTGATTTTAATGATCCACGACGTGTTAAATCAAGTTCAGCATCATAATTGATTTTATGACCCGTTTTAGTATAAGTGTTTCCGTTAAAAATTGTACCACGTTTTCGAAAAGGCCATGTACGTAGCCGTCGATTTTGTTGTGTTTGATTTTCAACAAAAGCCATCTATTAGAACTACAAATTAGAACAATGAATAAAAACTGACGAGACAAAATAATGTAAAAAAATAAAAAAAAGAAGAAAAGATTTTTCTATTAGTCCTTCTCATATAAATAACTTTTCTCAATTAATACGCCCTATAAAAAAAAAACGAGAAAAATGTCTAACTCTATATAACATGTCTCATATTCACATTCTTATTTATTTTGCCTACACACGTTTGTCTATCATCTGAAAACCTTATGATGAAATAGTTGAAGGTGAGTAAAGAAAGAACGCTCGTTCGATAGTACAGAATAAGAAATAAAAAAGCGAACATCATAGGAATAACATGTAAAAGAACGAGAAAATAGAAGAAAAAACAAAATAAAAAAAAAAAAGAAAGACCCGACATTATGTTTCATTCATAGTACTTGCATTAATAATGACAAACGATATGACTAGGCAGACTAACATTATATGCACCTAAAAAAGAAAATTTTTTGAGTCAAATATATACATGTGCATGTTGCAATTCAGATAAATACATTCTAACCATTTAGTTTTTCCTCTTAACATGTACACTTTATATGATTTTGATTTAGCAATGATATATCGTTATGTATTAATATACCGTGTATTTATTTTTTCGTCTATTGCGCACTTCTAATTAGAACATGTCTATATGACAGTTTTTCTTGTATATTTTTAGAGATTTAAAATAGTCATTTTTAAAAAAAGATTAATATATTTTTCTTAATTATATTAATTTGTCATGAACAAAAAGATAAAAATAAAGAGACAAATATAATGTCATCATTTCTTGTAATCATTCCTATCATTGATTATCATTCCAGATTGAGAATCTTGATCACCATAAAATACTATTTCCTTTCGAACATCGATCATGTTGTCGTCTATCATATATCTAATGAAGATCGACGATTGAGTGAAACAGTTGAAGAAGAATAAAATATTAGCAATAAAAAAAGAAGAAGAAGAAGACTGATTGACAACATTCGTTTCATATAGACATCATTGAATAGGCAAATCTACAAACTCAAGTAATAGATTTTGTGATTGAAGACAAAAAAAAGAAGAAGAAATTGGTTTTTTCATTCCAATGAATTATTCTAAATGTAGGAGAAAAAATGCCGATAATGCGCATAGGCCTATATGAAAATCTAATTGATTGTTATGCGCATGAGCGCTATAATAGAGACAAAACATATTCTCTAATGTATTTACCCTGTAATTTTTCTCATTTATTAAATATTGATATTATATAGCCAATATTATATTTTTTCGGATTTTTGGAAATCAATTGCTATTTTGAAGATATAGTAATTCATATATATTACTATATATTGCATTGTGTACTAATATTGTCATTTATTTAAAAAGCTGTTAATGTATGTAAAAACAACGGAAAATAACCTTTATGATGACATGAAATTGCAACAGCTGTATGTTATAGTATGTGATGAATGAATATAGCAAGAAAGAAGAAGAAGAAGAAAAATGATGTATACTCGCAGACGATTTTCAAGTAGCTACTGCTTATGTAAGCTTCTTCGTTCTATTGAAAATCGTTTAACATGACAATAAGCGTTCGCTCGAAGTTCTATCCATCAATCTATCAATCTATTCATCCTCATCCACTATCACTTTATCGACATCGAGATTTCTTGCAGTTCTATGTTTGTGCATGAGGAACTTTTTCGTCTCGTTCTTCACCATCTTGTATGTGCTTCGGTTGGCAAGAAAAATAAGCAATAGTAATGTGGTATAGGAAAGGAATTGAATAAACTAGAATGTCCGCTAGCGTTTGTCTATCTGCTTTCTCGTTTGCTTATTTGCTTACATTCGATCGTTTGCAAACTGACTCTATACGCGCATACACATATAACAAGAGAAGGAGACACATTGAATTAGAACAAAAAACCAACTGATCTGAAAATTATCCTTGTTGATTTTTGTTGCCTATTGTATCGAGCAAGCGAGAATAAATATACGCATTCGTAAATCAACGTATTATTGTTCTTACATAGCTTGAAATGCGCTTTACATCATCATCATTATCATCATCATCATCATCATCATCATTGCTACTGCTTCGTCTTGTTGTCATCGACAACGACATCATCGTCGCCGCCATCATCATCATCATCATCATCATCATCATCCTTATCCTTCTATTTCTTGTTGCGCGCGTTGCCTATCTAAGAAATGATGGAAACGACACGAAGGAAAGATGAGAGAGACACAGAGACAGAGAAGGGAAGAAGGAGAAAGCGAGACGAGAAAGAGATGAAGAATAGAAAAAAGAATAAAGAAGGTTTCTGTATGTTGTTGCTTCTTTTCTCGTTGGTTCGACACCATTTCTAAAAAAAATAAAACAGCCGACTGTTCGTTCTCGCTCCGTATGTGTGCATACGTGCCAGATCCTTCGTTATTTCTCCACCCTCCTCAAATGGTCGTCATTTCTCCATGTCTCATTTTGACTAACTTTGTTCTACTACTGTTACCAATATTTTAAACACACGCACACACACACATATATAGATATATAAACATACAGAAACATACAGATCTATAACGCATCAAAACACCACGAAATCTGTCAAATATCATTTAGCTTTCTTTTTCTTTCTGTCATGCGTTACAGATTCTATTGATAGAAACTCATGTCAATGCATCCTTTCGACGTTGGTTGTGGTTGCAACGACGATTTTGTTTCTCGTATTGCTTCAACGTGTTGTCGTCTGTGATGTTTGTTGTTTCTTCTTCTCCTTTTTCCGTGATCATTCCAACAATATTGAGCCTACTACTCTACCACCGTTCATGATCGTCATTCTATAATATTAACCCATATAGGCATACATTAAATATATTTTCGTCGTCCTTAAACTCAATCGTTGACATTCATTCATTCATTCATTTATTTATTCATTCGTTTCCAACAGCAATAACGAAAGACTATTTTTAGGTTCTTATCGTACTTATCATAGACAGAAAAACAGTAACAAAAACAAAAGAAAATACTAACAAGTTAGCCCGGTGATCAACAAGAAGTCTAATATATATATATATCATACGCACATTCTCGCCGGAAATCTAATGCTGGCCGAGTCAGTGCGTTGATGATGCGAGTATGAAAAAGCAGAACGTTCGTACCTTAACACTTATTGTTTCGACGTTCAGGTATGTGTTTATTTCGAAAACAAAAACAAAAAATATTTTTCTGTAATAATATTATTTTTTCATTTAGCTATTTGCTGGTTGGTGCGGCCATATTTGACGCGCTCGAATCAAACACAGAAGATTACTTGCGCAGACAATATCAAGCGGCCGAAGAAACTATGCTCCTTTCATATAATATAACCCATGATGAATATGTTGAACTAGAAGATATTGTTATCAAATATCAACCGCATAAAGCCGGTGCACAATGGAAATTTCCAGGAGCATTCTTTTTTTCACTTACTGTCATTACAACTATTGGTAAGAAATCATATTTAATTAATATATCTAAACTATATTTGCAGTATATATAGAATCTTTATGTTATTCTTTTCGTAGATTTATCTAAATTTTTAACAAGCCTAAAGAAAAAGTAACATGAAAAGTTATTTATTGCGTGTCAATTAAGACAATTCCCAATTACATTAGATTTTTGTTTTTTTATTGATTCAAATATTGAGTTACATATTCATATGCTAGAAATATATTTGTTAAGTCATCACATAAATTTGTCTTCTTCTTCTTCTTCTTTATTGTTTCAGAAATACAAAACAATCGATTATAATATGTATTGACTTCGGCCTCGATTTTTCTTTGCTTCGGCGTCTATAGAACATCTTTTCCAATTGTTTTTATGCATTCCTACTGTTAGTTATTAGCTACAATTGATTGTAGGTTTTTTTAGTTTAGAAGACAAAGAGGGAGAGAAAGAGTTGGACGGATGGAACTTCAATGATGTTTGCTAATCTTCGTCGTACACACAAACACACGCATACACATACACACACACGAATCTCATTCCTTTTTTTCTTGCCGCTATAGAAAAGACGAGAATAGACATTAGATATCTTTGCTACTCATGGCGTTCGAGTTATTAGACTCTGTTGAGTACATCCTGTCATACAAGTGTATTTGCCCGCTAATAAAAGAGCGAAAGAAAGATGATTGTCAAAATCATAGGAATGGAGTACTAACGTTCTCAATGACGTCAATAAAAGATTGTTATGTCGTAGATAAATATAAATATATATACATGTATATATACATACATATCAAGGTAACAGCTCAAAGGAAAAAACGGAAGTCATTCTTCAGTCAATTGAATTATTATTATTGTTATAACTATTTTAACTCAAAAGGCTTCTTAGATAATTAATAGTTGTCTTCTCGCTTTCTATACTTATATTCTAACCGCATAACTATTAATAAAAGAAAAAAAAACGTCGCAGTCATTATGCATATAGACTACATACTTGTAAATTCCAAATAAAAATTCCGCAGATAGAATGTATTGAAAATTTATTTATTCATTCTATTTTCTAAACAAGAATAAAAAGCATAAACAGATCAAATGACAAAATTTATTTATTTTAATGATAGTTAATCTCTATTGATTCGATTTTATCAATATCTGTTGTTGTTGTTTTTCACTTTGTTATTGTAAGAAAATAAAGTATAAGTAAATGAATATTTTTCTTTTATCTATTTTATATAAAAACTTCTATATGAAGTATAAAACTGACATCATATTTACAAGAATAAATACTTAGCTTAAATTTACAGATTATGAAAAAAAGAAGATTATCATCATGTTTTTTCTCAAATATAGAAAAACAAAATTTTTTATTAAATATAAATCGATTTTTTAATATTAGGAAAATATGACTAATATTTAATTTGTATTGTAATAATATCTCTCTTATTAAACATATATATATATATTCGATTTTAAACATATTATTAGTTTATTTAGTGACATTAATTCTCCATATGTTATCGTTATTTATAAAATCCGATTAAAACTAAAAATTACACGATTTGTCTCTCATAGAATACTTAAGAATATAAGTACACTTGGTCAGATTAGAATCAATCATAAAAATATAGAAATATTATTAGATTTTTTAATCTTTCATTTATATAAAGATTAGTTTTCTTTTTTTTAACTATTTTAGGCTATGGTCATTCTTGTCCTACTACAAGTAAATAAAAAATTTGATTTAAATTATTAAAAAAAAACTATTCGAATTTAGTTTGGGGAAAATCATTTTGTATGCTCTATGCAGTTATTGGTATACCATTGTGTCTTGTTATGTTTCAATCAGTCGGTGAACGTCTTAATAATTTTTCAAGTTGGTGTATTCAAACAATAAAAAAATGTATTAAATTACGTCAATGTGAATCAACACAAACTGAACTTGTTATTGTTGGTACTGTATTAGCAGTTGGCGTTGTTACAGGTGGTGCCGCAATGTTTCATCATTATGAATCATGGGATTATTTTAATTGTGTTTATTATTGTTTTATAACATTAACAACTATTGGTAAATTTAAAATTGTTGTTTTATTTTTATTTTCATTTTATGAGTATAATTAGGTTTTGGTGATTTTGTTGCTTTACAAACCAATGAAGCATTAAATACGAATGTTTTTTATGTTGTTTTATCGATGACATTTATTCTTTTTGGTTTAACTGTTGTTGCTTCATCGATGAATTTACTTGTATTAAGATTTTTAACAATGAATACTGAAGATGAACGTCGTGAAGAAATTCAATCAGCAGTTGCACGTAATTCACTTCATTTCGATAGTGATATCATTACTCCAAATGGTTCGATTTACATATTTTTACTTTTATTTCTAATAAAAAATATATTTTGATCTAGGTACTCTCATTCCATATCCATCTCCTGAACATTTCGAATATTTATCTACTGAATTAACACCATCAGAATCAGAACCATGTCATTGTTGTTCATGTTTTAAACCGAAAAAGAAAGAACGTAAAAAATTTACAGTTCGTCGTATGCCCGGAAAAGTCACTCATCTTGTACCAATGCAACGTTTCGATTCAATTATAGTTCGACGAACAATATCAATGGGTAAACCGTCCACTAATGATTATCATTTACAAACACCAACGAAACCGCCACAATTAACAATGAGATCAACTTCGAAAAATAAATCATCTTTCGATGAATCATTTGATACTGGTTGGTCACCATCACAACCTATGCATATATCTACATCAATTAATTCATTAAAACCGACATATGAACAAGCTACAAATGTGAATAATACTAATGATCCTAATAATATTCTTTCTTCAAAGAGATTAGAAACAATGTTAACTCGTTTTCAACAAGATATCGAATTGACTTCATATCGATATAATGTAAAACGATCTTCTGTGTGATGTTTTATTTGTTCGAAGAAAAGAAAAAAAATCAAAATCTTCTGTTTTTTTTTTATTCTGAATTTTACTTTGTTCGACTAGAAAAAAAAATTGAAATTTGTCTTTTTCTTTTTCCTCTCATTTTATTTCTCTGTTTCTTTACTGATACTTTCTTATCTCATATAATGGAAACATATATATATATATATATATAGATATATTTATTTATTTTCTTTTCATAATCATCATCATTGAACAAACGAAAAATATGATTACAAACACATACATATATTGAACTAGTTAAGATCAACAAAATAATTCTGTTACAAGACAAACAAAATAGATATGAGATTTAAATGAATAAACAAGTATTATTCATTATATATATATATATATATCTAACAAAAATAAAACAACGAATATATCTATAAACAAGAAGATTTTTATTCAAAATCTTCATCGTCTTCATCATCGGAAATATGATAACTTTTTTTTGCAGCTGCACCACGTTGTGTACGAGGCTAGAAAAGAAATTTTATAAAAAAGAAAAAGTATATATTTAAGAAAAATTTACTTTTTTATTCGGAGTTGATGAATCCGATATGTCTAGAACGACTTCATCTTCATCGCTATCCTGAAAAAAATAATATATATATTTTTTTAATTCTTTTCTTTCAATTAATCAATCAATACTTACATCAGGTTTAGATCGTTTAACTGCTTTTTTAGCAGGTGCTTTCTTAGGTGTTGAATCAGGTTCCTTTTTAGCCTTGAAAAAAAACACGATAGATAATAAAAATTATTTTGAAAAATCATACTCGAGGTTTTTTTGCTTTTGGTGATGAATCAGTACCATTATCTTTTGGTTCAGTTTTTTTAGTAGCTGGTTTCTTTTTAGCTGGAGATGATGTATTTGATATAGGTTTTCTTGGTTGTTTTGGTTTTGCAGTTACTTTTTTAAGTTTCTTTTCTGTTTCAGAATCACTACCCATATAATCAGATTCAACTTCATCAATTTCCATTCCTTTTACAATACTAATCTCATCATCCTCATCATCTTCATTATCTCCAACATATTTCTCAACTTTTGCTTTTGCTGTACGTTGTGCATTTCGTTTCGGTTCGATTTCTTCTTGAACTATATCTGATTCATCATTACCACCACCACCTGACATTGTAGAAATATTGTTTGCTTCATCATGCTCATCAGTTGTACCATGCTCATCAGTTGTACCATTCAATTTCTTTTCTTCTGATTCACCTGATTCACCTGATTTTTTTTCTAAATAATCAAAATGAAATATAATTTGGAAAAAAAGATTTTTTTTAAAGACAAACCTGTAGTAGGAACAATTTTCTTTTTCTCTTTAAAACGCATTTGCATAATTCCAGTGATTTCTTCTGCAGTCACACCTTCTTTAACAAGATATTCAATAATTGTCTTTTTATCTTCAGTAGATTTTTCTTCTTTTGAACGTTTAAGAATTTCTTCATTAACTTTTTTAATTAATGCTGGATCAATTACTGGTGTTATACGTTTACCATGTGGTGCTGGTTTTGTTTCAGCACGTTGTGGTTTTGCTGTTGCTCGTTTATTAGCTTTTTCACCACCTTTCTTTGTCGTTGGATGTGCAACACCAGACATTTCATCAACACGTTCTTGTTCAGTTGTTTTACGATATTCCATTTCAAAATTCATCAAATCAGTTTCATATAAATCTTCTGGAGTTCTCTTTAATAATGCTTCAAGTTTATCATGTTTTTCTTTTTGATCTTTAATAATTTCATCACGACGTTCTTTTGTTAAATTACGTAATGACATATTGATTAAATAATCATAATAAGTTGTATCGACTCGAGTAGTTGTTGATGCACTTGTTTTGACTTTCTTTTTACCACTATCATCAAATTCTTCATCATCAACATCTTCATCTTCTTGTTTTCTTTGTAAATCAGCTAATTGATCGGTATCTTCATGAATAATATGTGCAGAAAGTTCAATAGCAAATTTTTTCTTTGCTTCTTCACGCCAAACTTTTTCCGGATCACGATCATATTTTCTTTCAACAAGCATATCAACAACGGCACCAATCTTTTTATTTTCTACACTAATTACGTTTTCAATTTTTTCTGTAATAAATCTTGCAATATTATCTAATTTTAATGATTGTGATTTTAATGTTCCAACCATAAATTCTTTTCGTTTATTATACATTTTAATACGAACCATAAAGAATTCTTCACAAATTTCTTCCGGAGTTTTATAACGATGTAATATACCATTATGATTGAAAAGTACCATATTTGTTAATTTAAATGTATCTTGTAAACGAAAACTTTTATGAAGACCAGCTTGCCTTAATTGAGCAAATTGATCATGAGATAATTTTACAACAAAACGAACAGTTGTATCAGTATGATATTCTAAATAATAAACAAAATAGAATAGATAAAATTCTATTTATATTAAATCAAACCTTTATAATCAAGAATTGTTGGTGCAATATCATTTCGTTTTGGATGAAGCATTGTTTCTAATACAGTTTCTTTATATTGTTGTGTCCATGTACCAACAGGTAAATCAGTTATTTCAATAGTTTGATCATCAAGTTTTGCACAAATACCATTGATAACACCACGTGTACGATCATTATCTAATAATTGAATTACACCACTAAAATTTTTATACCATGGAATTAAAGCTTGTAATGTAAGAGTATCGGAATATTTTCGTGGTTCTGAATGTGTATTATTTAATTGACGTTGTCGTTCACGTTCTTGTCGAATATAATATTTCATATTATTACTTAAGGTTAATGGATTATATGATGGTATATCAGTTGAATAACCTGTACCAACACCATGTGCACCATTAACAAGAACAGTTGGTATTATTGGACAATACCATTCAGGTTCAATACTCATACCATCTTCATTTAAATATGATAACAATGGTTCATCATTTTTATTAAATAATGAAAGAGCAAGTGAACTAAAGAAAATAAATCAACTATTATGATAGGAAAATTTCTATAATTCATATTCTTACCTAAGTCGAGTGAAAATATAACGTGCTGAAGCTGCATCACTACCACCATGTAAACGTGTACCAAATTGACCAGCAGGTACGAGAAAATTAATATTATTTGATCCAACAAAGTTTTGTGCAAGACCAACAATTGTATTTGTTAATGATTGTTCACCATGATGATACGCAGAATTTTCTGCAACTTTACCACCTAATTGTGCCACTTTAATTTCACGAATTAAATTTTTTGTAAAACAAACAAACATAATTTTACGTTGACCAGGTTTAAGACCATCCATAATATTTGGAATAGCACGTTCTGTACTTGATTTCGAGAAAAGAACAAGTTCTTTATTAACAAAATCATTAAAATTAATTTCTTTTGTATCTAATCTATATAAAAAATCTTGAGGTAAATTTTGTTCACGTCTTTGATTAATATCTTCCGTATGCCATTTTATCCAATCTTTACGATCATCAGCTAATGCACTATTAAATGCTAATTGTATAGCAAGATCATCTTTTGTTGATTCATATTTAAATCTAATACGATGACGATCCATATTAGAAAAATATTCTTTAGCTTCTTTTGCAGTTGATGTACCTAAACCTTTGTAGTATTTGCATTTCCATTTCTGCCAATCGGGTGTTGATGCTTGCCATTGTTCAAATTCAGGCATTGAATAAAATGAAATGACTTCCGAACCTTTTGTTACTTTAAGAATTGGTGTAATAAAAACTTCAATATAATCATGTTTAAGTAAATTTGGCCATTTATAATGAATAAAATTAATAACAAGACCTTTGATATGACTACCATCTTGATCTTGATCAGCCATAATCATTAATTTTCCATAGCGTAATTTCGCTAAATCACTTTTATTAACATATTTTTCACCATAATTTAATCCAAGTATTTTAACTAATTGTGATACTTCACTATTTTCAGTCATCTTTTTTGTTGTTGCTTCACGAACATTTAACATTTTACCTTTCAATGGATAAACACCAAAACGATCACGACCAATAACACCAAGACCAGCAACAGCAAGTGCTTTAGCTGAATCTCCTTCAGTTACAATTAATGTACAAAATTGTGAATTTTTTGTTCCAGCATCATTTGCATCATCTAATTTTGGAATACCTTTTAATTTTGATGTTTTTGAACCACTTTGTTTTTGTAATTTAGCATCTTGTTTATGTTCAAGCCAATTAATAACAGATTCAACAATACCTGTATCTTTAATAATTGCTTTTATAAATTTTTCATCAGTTTTTAATACACACGTTGACCCGAAATTTTTCTTTTCGGTTGCTAATTGTTTTTTTGCTTGAGATTCAAATTCCGGGTTTTCAATTAAACAATTAACAAAAATAAATAAATGATTTTTAACTTGTGCTGGTTTAAGATTTTCAGCAGCAGCTTTACTTTTCTTTTTAACATGTTCAACAAGTTTTGGACATATTTGTTCAGTTATATAATCAACATGTTTACCACCATCAGATGTTAATATTGAATTAACAAAACTAACTTGTGAAAAACCTTGATTATGATCATTTCTTGCGACACCAACTTCCCATCGATTATTAACTTTTTTATAAACAACTTCTTTTTCTTCAGCATCAACATACATTAACATATAATCTTTCATATTTTTAACTGCTATAGGTGTACCATTGAGTGATACTCGACATCCTGTTGATACAGCTACATCATATGCACGACGTTTAAATAATGAGACATGATCATCATCTAATGTATCCATTTGAAATCGTTTTAAATCAGGTGTAAATGTGACACGAGTAAATTCTTTTGTATTTTCAGCTTTTGCTATTATTGCATCTTGTGGATCACGCATATTATTTGTCCAAGTTTGTTTAAATACTTTTTTAAATTCTTTTGAACAAGTTTCAACAGTGAATTGTTTACTGAAAATATTGGTGACTTTTGCACCATAACCATTTCGACCACCAGTAATTCGTTTTTTATCATCATTGAAATTATCGGATGTAAGAAGTTTGCCAAAGATTAATGTTGGAATATAAATAGATTCATCTTGAGCCCATTTACGAACGGGAATACCGTGACCATCATTACAAATTTTTATTTCACCTTTTTCTTGATCAATATCAACTTCAATTGATGACATAGTTTTGTCACGTTGTTTATTATCGGCAGCATTTACTAAATATATATATATATATATATGATTAAATAAAATTTATTTGTTTTTTATTTACCAAGAATTTCATCAAAGATTTTGTAGAGACCTGGAACATAGGTTATTTCTTTTTTAACTATTTTTGGACCTTCAATATTTGATTCATCAACAACCCACATTTCCTAAAAATAAATAATTATAAAAATGATTAAACAAATTCAAAATATTACTTCGGTACATGGTCTGTTTGAACCAATATATGTTTCAGGACGTTTGAGAATATGGTCGAGTTGTTCGAGGAGTTGATAAGTTTCTTCATTTTTTTTCGGTGCGCTGCTAATAGACTTATTCATTATAGTTGCTGTAAGACGAGCAACGTTAGAAAATAAGTTAACAGTTAGAAAGCAATTATGAATAAGTTTAATATTTATCTTATACCAAAAAAAATCTAAAATTGAATATTAAGAAAATGTTTGTCATTGAACAATTACGTGACATTGTATGCTTTTCAAGAGAATATTCATTTTTGCTCTGTTTATAATAAATGAAAGAGTCTTTATGTGCAGTCTTCATGTATTGTATTCTTTGTGTTCAAATAGCCGCCAATTAAAAACAAACATAGGTACTTTATTAAAACGACTTGTCAAAAATTTTATCTTCTTTTTTTTTATGAAAACGAATATTAATTTCAATTTTATCATTATTTAGTATCTAGAAAAACTATTTTTATTGTATTGTTTCGATAGATGACGCCACAATTCGTGAAAAGAAATTTTTTATAAATTGTTAGTTTTACAACGAAATAAAGTAATAATCATGCTGACTTAATGACTGAATATAATCTGTCACTGAATCAACAACGTATATAAAAAATCGATTGATAAATCATTTACTGAGTTAATACGTAGATAAACAGTCCATCATAGATGTAGATAAAACGAAAGATACTATTCAAACAAGAATTAACAATAGAATAATATCATCAATCGGATATCAACTTAATGTGATGATTATGAGAAAATTGAATTATAAAGATGGGTCAATTTTAAGAAGTATCTTTATTACTGTGATAAATTACTTTGTATTGTCTATTCATTATTCTTTCTATAATATCAATTCTGTTTAGTAATTTTATTATAGTATTTTGACAACATGAACAATGAAATGGGGGCATATCATTGATTTAAGAGGAGATTCTTCATGTTTAAAATTAGATTTTATCTTATTAAGATTTTATCATATTTCAGTAATATTAACAATGTGATGAGTTGCTATATCATTCTCTATTTCGAATTTTTATTTAAAAATAAGATAAAATCATATGAATATAGATTTTATCGGTTAGAAAAGGTAATCAATTTATATTAATATTCTGTTCATAGAAAACATACACATATGTCATTGTAAATATAGTTTTCTATCGATTAGATATTTATTTTGTGTCCCGATTTCATCATAGGTTTTTTTTTCTGCATTTATTATGAAGCTCTTTTCTTTTCTTCTGATTGTCATATTTTTTCATATCGTTATTGTAATAATAACATTTTGACAGATGTTTTCTAGAAAAACACATTACTATTTTCTATTTAACAGTGATGAACGATTATTTAATTTATGATTTTCTTTCGGATTCGATTAGTAGTATTATTGATCATAAGAAAAACAATTTTTTCAATAGCACACATTCAATTGATAAGTAAGATTATATGTAAATTTAAAATTCAAATTTTTTAAAACACTGCAAATACCAAATAATCAACACTCTTGTTTTTAAATACGTAGGAGTTTAAAATAAATAGAATAATTTGAGGATTTATTCAAGACAATATCATATTTCTTTTCCTATGTCTATAGTTACTTAGAAAATTACCTGTATATGATAGTCTTTTCTTTTTCTTATCATAGCACATAAGCTCATTAGCTCGATCGTGCATACTGTAATTTATGTGAGTGTTTATGTGTATATTCTTAGTTTTATACGGTCGACTGTCAAACCATCATTATTATCTTTTCAACTGAAGAAGAAGAAGAAGAAAAAAAATAAATATCAGATGATTTTATCTATAAAGTAAAAGAAAAGAAAAAACTTCGTAATACTCACAAATATCTAAGAAGTTTATCAAGTGAGTAAGTAAGTTAACTTTTCTTTTTCAGATAAAATAATAGTGAGTAATAAACTATTGGTACATGTGAATATGTCATACGAAAATAAATAAGCTATACGATACTACCAATAACACGTCATTGTCATTTATATCATGTTCTTTTGCTATTTCTTTTTTCGCGTTTTTTTTATGCACATGTGACTATACGCAGTGCTTGCTTGTTTCGTTCGTTTTTTTTCTGTACTGACGTCTGTTTTTTAGCTTAACGATAGTAAGTTGAATCTTGCTCGTTGTGCAGCCGCTCTCATTTATTACGCACTTTTAAATAGAAAATGATAAAAAAAACATCTCTCTTTTCTTTTCTTCTTTTTTTTTTTATAAAAAAAACTTTCCGTAAAGTAAATATCTTAATTATAGTAGTAACAACGTTCTTATCTCTTAGAAAAAGAAAATAAATGACCTTTCATATTCTATTTCAAAAGCAATTTGAATGAGGTGACACTATTATTTATTTCTTCCTATATATCCTTTGTGAGTCATAGTTTGTCTCATCAACTATCAAGATATATACTAATACATACTCATTGACGTTGGTAAGCTTTTCTATGTTAAAATACACGTCGAGTAAATACAATATTCAAGTTTAATGAATGAAATGTCCCCTATTGCTTTAGTTATTAAGGACATTGTACATCTCTCTACTCTCCTTCATTCTCTTTGTCGTTATCGTTCGTATTTCGCCTTCTTCTTTTTTGATGATGAATGACCGTGAACTGACCTAGCCTTGTTATTCTTAATCCTAATTTTATTTTTTTCTTCTTCTTTAAGATGATTACAATACTATGAAGTGGGAATAATCATCAATCTAAAGTAAAAAGAAAGAAACAGAACATTAACATGGAAACATTTCATACTGAACGTAATTTTCGTCAAGAAAATAACAAATATAAACGACATAAATCAATGAAACACCTTCAAAATAATAATGATAATGATTATAATGATGATGAACAAGAACAATGCTTGCAAAATCAATCATCTATTAATAATACCCATTCATTTTCTTCCAGTTTTAGACATTCTCTACGTCAATTAACATCATGCGCTTCAGCAAGGTAAGCGACGATGTCAAATATTATTTGTCTGTTTACTTTATAATCAATCAAAAAAAAAGAAAAAAAAGAAATAACACAACCTTAAATTATTAATATAATATTATCTTTAATTTACCATAGATGCGCGACATATTTTTTTTTCTATTTCTGCAATTTTCCTTGACTATATGACGAGAGGTGTGTCCTGTTTGATCATGCTAATAATATTGTGTTCGACAGCTGAATCGCTAGTTCGAGAGTTGGTTTTATTTCCTTCTTATTTCTGAGAACGAGAAGAAAGGATTGTGAAAATATTTTTTTTCTATCAACTACGGTCTTTACTAGTCAGTATTTATAACGTGAGTATGAATAATGTAACGACGTCAGGAACGACAATAATACCACTACACTTGATTTTTAACTAGTAGTATTCTCATTGTTATTGATTTGCTATTCAAATTTATAAGCATATCTATTATAAAATAACAATACGCAAACAAAATATTATTTGACAACAATCTACATGGATGAGGAGTAAGTGTTTTTACAAAACTAAAAAGAAATGCGTATATTAAACTAGAAAAAAAAGCTCTTGAAAAAAAAAGGGCTGACTCTTTTTTTTATAACCTTTAGAATATATTAGTCGCGCTGTAGATGTAATAAAATAATGACATCTGATTGTATATTAAGATTAATACGCACATATTGATTATAAGTACCTTGCGTCAAATATAATTAGAGAACATCTCATATGGTGTATACTGTAGATTTATGTATTGAAGGTATGCATTAATATTACAATAATTGGCAAAATAAATGGTGATTATAAGAGAGTTCATGTATTTCTTTTTCACCTTCATTCGTTCGTTCGTCGATGTCCTGTACGAAATGTCAAGTTCATCGATGATTCTTTTTCTTCGTCTTTCTTTTCTGTCCCCGACGGGCGACAATAATAGCGATACTGTACAGGTATAATGGTACCTCCTTGAATTATCATCGAGACACGAGAAAAGAGAACTATCGAACAAAAAAAAAAAATTTTAATAACGAGAGAAACGGTAAAAGAAAGCACATATTCATATGTATTGACCTGTTGTCGTCAATCTTTCTTTCACTTGTTTTTTTTGTGTTTCAAACAAAAAAAATTTGAGAAGAGAACACTGTCGGTCAACGCGGTATTTTAAGAAGCGAGAAAAGTAAGAGTGGCATTGACACTAACACACACACGTATATACATACGCATACATTAGAATTACTTTATTGTCATTCGTCATCATCGTCGTATGTATTCTTATATCTACGCTCGCTTCAACAACCATTATTTTGAATCATTATTGTTACAATGACGACAAACTATCAAATATAAGAAAGAAATTTTAACAAAACGAACATATATGTTCGATTACATTTTGCCTATGATACAAGAGATAGTGTGAATATATATCACTATTTTAGCAACAATGTTAAATTCATTTCGCCGGAGGTATGTGTTTATACTGTATGACTAAGATAACATTGAATTTCTATTTTCTTAACATAAATGACTAAGAAATCTTATTCTTTATTCTATATATTTGTATTTCTATATATTGATTAAGTTTTTGATCTCTTTAGAGACAGATGTTGTTATTCAGGTACGATAGCAAGTACACGTACTATTCTATGTTTAAACATCTGTTGCCCGATTTCTTTCTTTTTTTTTCTTCTTTTTCTTATTCTTCTTTCGTTTATATATATATAACTTGTAAAAGAAGAAAAAAAAATCGCATAAAGTGATTTTTAATTTCTCATCGATCGTATCTTGGCATATGTGTGTGCCAACGTGTAGGAGTATCTACAGTAATTCTAGACGAACGTTTCTCTTAGTCAAGAAAAGAACAATAATAATATTAATGATAATATTGACGAGATTTTAACGTGTCTACATATAAACTTGGTGTTTTTTTCATTTATCGATTTCAACATTCATCATCATCGATCGATCGAAAATGCAATTTCTATCATCATTTAATATCAGGTATACGTAGAATGTTCATCATTAACAAAAAAGATAGATAAAAGAGCAAAGTGTTTGATAGATTATTGTATATAAGTGAGAAATAGTAAATTTATCTATCTTCTTATACAGTGATATATACGTTATTAGGTTTCTGTCTTGGGATATTTGACATACACTTGAGACAAGCTATAAAAGTGATTAGCTATACTTGAAATCTTTCATTTTTCGATTAACTGTACATATTGTTCTTATTTTTTGAAATAATACATATACAAGGTTTTATCAGGTATCTTCATATACATATGTTAATCTACGTGTTATTTTTTCTTAGAAATTTAATAAATGATCTTGATTAATAATACAAAAAAAAAATAAGATTAATAGAATAGATTTTTAAATCCGTGCTAAGCCAAATAGTGTTACTAGTTGTTTTATTTAGAATATTACGAAAAAGAATGCTGCATTAGGTCAATCCTATTAAAAGTTCAGTCAATACTGTGATATGATACTAAAAATGTGACATTTAACGAGTTTTGATGTTATGTTGATTTAGATTCGTTCAATTATGAAAATAAACAATATTAATCAAATAAAATATTGTGATTTTTTCGGATTTGTTTTTTTCCATTACAGATTACAGAAGGAAACAATTATCTATTTCGGATCAATGATTCAATACTTGACATAACTAATTTTCTTATTATATATATATATAATGACTAATAAAGAAAAACAAAAATATGTTTTTTCAACAAAAAATAAATCTATTTTTCTTGTGTAATTTAGACGAAAACCCGGTCGCAATTCAAATCATAATAAGCATGGTACATCAACAACTGACACACTTATTACATATAAAGATGAACAACGAAATTCATCAAAAACCCTTTTACCATCAACAAAATCATCATCATCATCATCACAGAAACAACATAATCGTTCAGCATTATCAACAATACAATCTCCTAGTCAAGATATTCCACCTGCTTTACCTCCACGTAAACCAATGGATAAAAAGAACAGTGTTCAAATGTCATCAGTTATATTAAATCCATCTGTATTTAATAAGTCTTCATCACAAATATCATCCAGTACAGTCGATGATACATCATCATCCTCGATGGTTCCCACTCGTGTTTTAACTAGCAAAGAGGTGAGAAAGAAGAGTATATAGCATGCAATCGTTATATTATTATCTTTTTCGTTTTCTTTTTCTCGTGTATTTTACCATTAGTTCATGTATTATTTTTCATTCTCTCTTTATTTTTATATCGATTCGAAAGTGGTCAATATATAGACATGTAGTACATACCGAGACAGATAAATACACTCTTTCTTTTCTCTTTTTTTTGTCGATATGGTGTGACTGACTAAAATATTATTTGAACAGTTTCATGATTAGTATGTGCGGTACGACATATCAGATCAAGCATATCATTATTCTTCTTTTTTTTTTTTATTCTCTCATACTCGTGCACACACTCACATACACACATAGATAGATAGATAGATAGATAGATAGAGCCTATTACTCTCTAATCTTACTCGCGTGTCAAATTGAATTCATTCGAGAGAGAAAAAAAAACGAGATGAGTTTCGTCGTGTCTCAACTAGTTAAACCGACACTTTATCTAGTCCAAACAGTAGGTTTTATTTTTCATTTATTGATTGTTTTTGAAAGATATGAAATAGCAAAATAAATATTATCTATTATTATTATTAATTGATTCAATTTTTTATTCTGTTTAGATTAGTACAAGTTTGGTTAATTTAATGGGTACGGCATCGGATTCACTCAGTGTGAATAATCCAGCACAGACATCCACACAAGAATCTCGAGTATGTATTAAATTTCTATTTTCCTTTTTTTAAGTTCATTAAATATTAATACGAAATGAAATGATAATAAAAAAAAAATAAAACTTCTTGTTTTTTTTCTACAGCAACGTAAACATAGTGTATTCAGCTTCTTGCAGGTATGAATCTTATGTTCCCACTAATCTATCCTGCTTTTATAATATCATTTGTTGGGCTAATTGTTTCTTTTTTTTTCTCATAATGAAATAGTCATGATTACATCATCATGTTACTTTTTTTTTAAGTGCCCGAATGTTTTATATTTGTCAGCTTTCACTCGTATGTTGCCAATATGATTGCGCCATCATCATAGTCATATTGATGGCAACGAGATGTTACCATGTCATATTTCTATTCATTTTCTTTCCCCCTTTCATCTTTTGTCTTTGTGTTGTAGCTTAGTTATATCTGTTTTTATTGACGCTGCTGTCATATAAACGAGAAAAGGAAATGAGAAAAAGAACCGAAAAAAGCAAGGGAAAAGCTTATGATGCTGATGATGATGATGATGAACAAAAACACGAGACGAGAAAGATAGAGAAGTATTCCAGTATTAACCGAAAGGAAAAAGAGACGAAGAGCACATATTTTTCATCATCAGACAGGCGGCACACGTCACTAGAACGCGCATCGCACCGCCTTTCTCTACTGCACCAGAAATAGAGAGAGAAAGAGAAAGAGGATTTTTTTTCTTCTTCTCTCTTTTGTCTCTTGACTGTCGTCGATAGTTGTTTGTTATTATGCCGAAAAGAAATAATAATAATAACAAGCTTATTTCATACGAATCGATCTTTATTCGAATACGCCATATCTTTTAATATCAAATATTATATGTAAAAAAAAGTAAAACTTCATTGATATGCGTCGACGTGAACGAGCATTAACAACTGAACTTCGTTTGAATATGGATTCAGATGATAAGTTACCAGGCATATCACCAATATTTACTCATCGTATGCTCAATTTATCTCCATTATTGAATATACGTAGTAATAATTATTTTGTACGTGCTTATAATATATACTAAAAATGTTTTTATTTAAAAAAAAGAACAAAAATTTTATCATCATTTCTATTTTGTTTTTTCTTTTCATTCTAGCGTATATCTACTGCACCTTCAACAACAGTCGATCGATTGGTATAGAAATATATTAATAAGATTATTTATTTTTATTTTTACATGAATGAATTCTTTTAGGGTTTATTTGATCCATTATCAAATGTCAGTACAGCTAGTATGATTGAATCACCATCATCACATCGAACAGTCTTCACCGGAAATCAAACTACTATTCCATATACAAAACCAATCAATGAATATACATGGTGTTATGAAAGTTCAAGTCCTTCTATTCAATCAAATACTAAAAATAGTTCGGATGAATGTTTACCTCAACTTGAAATTGATGATAAACCATTAATATATCGTCAACAATTTGAATCATCCGTATATATATATATAAAGATAATTATTTTTTTTTTCTAATCAACAATGTTAATCATTTTTTAGGAACATTTTAATTGGTATGGTACTAGTGAAAGTCAAGGACATGTTATTATTTCATACAAACATTCTATTGATCAGAATAAACAACGATCTATAATGTCAATTGTTAGGTAGTTATTAACATATCTAAGTTTGGAATGACAAATTACTTATTTCTTTTTATATATACATCTTATAGAACACGACAACGAACATTGATTGAATCAATATTTGATATACATTCATCATCAACTGCCAATGATATTTTACGTCGTATTTGTGAACAATGTGCTATTACTGATATAGAATATTTTGATCCGGTGCTATGTGATGGTGTAAGTTAAATAAATAAATATATATAT